ACCCCATACCACCGAAGTTAACAAGCAGAAGAGTAAAGCTGTTCCAATCGCCTCTCACAATCAACCAATATCTTCAAGAATCTCAATCGCGAGAGCTACGAACTAAAAAGTGAGAATATTTGAACCAATTCCATACTTCAAATCACAAGCCCCGACCACTAAGTAGCTCAACCTCAACCGAATGACCGCACAAGTTAATAACGACCATGTAATAAAGACAGTCAGTTAGTTTTTGATGAGAGCAAACCGAAGAAACAAACGACGAACAGTTCAAGCAAGATCAAAACAGCTATTAGAGCTATCTTCCCATAGTCATAATCACGAAACACCTCTGCAATCCGATAGAAACTTTTAAACAGCAAAATTTCAAATTAGTCGAAGAAATGAAAACTTCAGAGAGAAACTATTATAATCGAGTGTAAAAATAAGACAAAAGACAAATCCAAGAAATCTCGACCTCAAAATCCAATGGGAACAACAAACGGATGAACCGTCTCATTCTCTCATTGGAAAACCATGTACCCAAACAAGCATATCTTCAAATACGTAAAACTCCAATTTCGCACAAAAAGCTTACCCGTTCTACCAAGATTCATTTTTCATTAAAAGAAGAACAAAGCCTATCTCTCTCTCCCTCGCCTTACGAATAATTAATTTGTCGATTAAATGATGAAAACGAAACCAATAAAATTTTTTTTGAAAATAAGAAGCAAAAGTAACGTGATAAAGGAACTGTACAACTAGGAAAGAACCTATATCAATCAATACTACTTGAACCAAAAAAGGGAGAAAAACAAGAGTAAAAGGATCTCCGAATGATCTGGAAGTTAGACCAGACTATAAACCTCGAGCACTAACAATCTTGGTCAGTCTAAGGGAATGTGAGTAAGGTGTTCAAAGTACAATTATGAGATGTCGTTAGGAAATAAAGCAGACAATTGAAGAGTGGCGAAGGCTTTGCTCGTTTTTGCTTCTTCTTCATCTGAGAGCAGTGTTTCGATCGTACAAATTTATTTTTTACTTACAGCGCACTACGTGATAATTTATATGTATTTTCCCATTGTACAGGTGTTCAGCCCGGTGAGCGGTGTGAGGCATCTTTTCATTTTTCACGTGATGAGCGTAGTGAGCGGTGTTAGACTTTTGGTTTTTTAAGCAAAGCTGTTCCAAATGTCAAACTACAATACAATAGTTATTGGTATTGGTTGGTAAGCCAAGTATGGCATTCAAACTAAATTTCTTCAAAAATCTTCTTCACCCAAAAAAATAAAACCAGATAAACAGATTTTTTCATTATCTTCAGAAGTGATCATATCATAATCTTTTCTTTTATCCTCAATTGAATACATGGGAGTGCGACTTCATACAGCGCGTATTGTACGAATTATTCAGATATTTACAATTTTCAATAATTAATAGAAAAATAATATAATATAATTTCAATATTGCACAATATATTAAGAGTAAAAGTTCTCTCTTACCAAGTCCAACCATTTTATGTTCTGATAATCATTACTCCTAGCTTAGCAAAAAGATGTTCCATTTGCGGTCTGCATTCGAATCATATGAACTTTGAACATTGCATCGCCAAACTGCATCGCATGAGGATGTAGCATAACAATTGCAAACTGTCTAGCTCTTGCATCCAAAGCAAATGTCAAATCATGAGTTGATGATCTTTCTACTTTCGGTCCAAGCAATTCATGACAGTCTTCAGACTCACTGGAAAGGATTTATCAGATTCGATTCCCTTTTGTGCTAACCTATCTACTGTCGGGCAAATAAGAAGACGTGACCCAAACGCGTTTTGTGTTATAACTATTCTTAGATCAACTGGGCTTTGAAGATCAAAAACAGGACTCAAAAGAATTGAGCGAGTTGATGTTTGATTGAGAATGGCTTCGGCACCTGGAATGATAAACAAATAAGGGTACGATTAAGTCCCTACCATTCAATGCTGTTGTGACAGCTACATCTCCCAACCGTATTAGAGGAGATTTATATTCACATAAAGAATCTAGGAAAAATTAATTGAAGAGCTGTGTTTTTTGTATTCACCTCTGAAACCACACTCGATTTTATCACAACTTATTTTCTCTGCCGAACGTAAAGGACAAATGTCACCTTCGACTTGTATTGAGCTTATAACTACTATTGAATTCGATGTGCTTTTTGCCTCTAGGCTGAACTGTAAAAATAACCGTTATTGATCCGAATTATTCTGCCCAACCTCAAAAGGTGTTGGCGACGAGATTGTGATAGAAATAGATCCAGAGCTATCTTTGGCTCTAACACATCTGTCGATAGCGCAAATCGAGAAGTTTGTATGCTGGGATCTAGATATCACGTCATGGTTTGAACATGTATGTTAATCTCACCTCATATAGTTCACTGTGACGGTAGCGTGCTTCGCACAAGAAACTTCTCTAGATCTTAAAATCGAAGATGTTTGCTTCTCTAACATGAATACAGCAACGTTGCCTGAATGCTTGATGGTGTATGCATGGGAACTTGCTGTATACCTTTTATGTGTGGAGGTATTGGGAACTTGTCCGAACTTCTTGGAGCAGCTCCATAAACAACATGGCCGTCGTCGTTCACCCATTGACTACAGTAATCTTGGGAAAAGTCGCAGCTCAGTGTAAGTGGATAAGGAGCAAGACTTCCGTAACCTTGTTGTAGCCCGAACATAGAGGATATCTAAAAAAAATTGTCCTCCTTTTTCGATTTTTAGAGCGACTCATACGATTGGAGGATTGATAGTTGTGACGACTGGTGGTGGTTCTTCTTTGCATAAAAGCCCAGTTACCTTGATGTCTGATAATGCTACGAGCCCAACGGATGTTTCATCGAAAGCAATTATTTCAACTGTGAACTGAATGAGAATGTGTTAGCCAGCCAGAAATAAACTGAGCATTTTTCTTACCCGAAAAGGTTGATCATACGCTTCAGCATCAACCTCAATGGGACCGGGAGCATCTTCTTCAGTTAGGTATGCGCAACTGAGCGGGACATTCTTCTCATCCACGGAGCAGATTTCCACTTGTGTCCCAGTCTTCAGCCAGTACCTTAAAGTATCAGGTATATGCAAAGAGTCTAGGTTTATAGTACCTGAATGAAAGTGTTGTTGCTCTTTGTGTGCAAGGAATAATATGACTACGTAAAACAGAGTATGGGCGAGGTGAAAGTGAATCTACTACAAGGAACAAAAACGAAGAATTCGGCTTGAGCTCATCCTTAGATGACTGAAAATTAGCAACTTATGATTTATATTCCCTACATTAGTTTACATCCATCATCTTCTGCCATTTATCCAAGCTTCTCCCCACTTTCCATTCCGATAATGACGGGTATGAATTCTCCCACATGCAGTTAGACAAAGGCCGTTCGCAATTAAGATCCGAAAGTTGGTTTATATCTTTAGAAACAACTGGATTAAGAGGTGAGCTTGAGAAAACAGAAGGGAATGCTGAAACAATTTTGAACATGACTATTGAATGCTTTGAACTCACGAGATTCTCCACAAACCGTGGCAGAATATGATATATTTGATAGCAATGCCATGCTACCCACGACATTATCCTTTAAGAAACGGATAAGAACAGAATTTCTAATGAAAAACCTTAAGATTAAAAGCCCTTATAGCAATACGGTATGGTTCATCTATCGGAGGAATCTGAACGGTACAGATGTCATTAGCTGGACGGAGGAAATGGCAGTCCATGGAAGGTCGTAATAATGCCTACTTTTACACTTTAAGCGCAAACTTTAACAGTTCCCTACTTGTAAATGCGTTCTTCTGTTTGAGGCTCTAACGATAACCACTTCCAACTTGGCATTGTTATACAACCAATAGCTAAACAAAAGGAAATATTCAGAAAAATTACTTTGAGCACACCTAAAAGTTAAGTTTCCAAAGCCTTTTTGGCAAGCGACTGGGGCACTCAACAGAACGGCACTTTCCGACGTAGTTGTCGTATTACCTGCTACTATCAAATGTGTTCCTAAAAACAAAGTGCTAATAGATTTTTTAGAAGAAAAAACCTTTTTTTATATCCTGTTTTCCAGGCTGTATTTGAACAGGAAAAGGCTTATCATCCGATTTTTGGAAGTACCACCACTCGGATGTATCAAGTAGACTATCGGTTTTGGAGTTTTTCCATAGGCATTTCTCATCGAAGGAGCAATCGAGATCGCCAGAAGAAGCGATATACGATGCGAATTTGGAATTGTCTGAAATAGCGTTAACTGACATAAGTAATCAAAATATTAATACCTTTCACGGGTAGTTCTCCATCGTCTTCCGGGATCAGTCCCAAGTATAAATCAAGATAGCGCAGTTCTTTTTCAAATTGAGGGTGACATGCAGACGCAAAATTAATATATAAAACGACAATGAACAATTTGAAGTAAAGCATTTAAGCTTTGTTTCACAATCGTCTCTGATTAAGCAAGAGAAGTTTGTGTCAATCGAGAAAGCTTTCAAAGTGACAAAGAAAATCCCCGCTGATATAAAACCTGTTGGTCGCATCACATCCCCCCTTTTCTCGCTCATTTGATTCGTTAATCGACCAATAGAAATTTTAGGAGAGAGAAAGCTCGTCGTTCAACTGCCTTATTGGGCTAACGTTGAAGACTTCATAGCAAAGAAAACTAAACTTTCATGTCACAATTGTCACAAACAAGTCAAGATGTGATAGATTAAAAGATAAAACGTTTTATTAATAAAAAGCCGTTATTAAAAAAATGTGAGGCTTATTATTGAGATCTATGAGGTGATTAATGGGAAGCACTACGAGGACTAGTACAGAGATCATGAGTCAAAATGTTAAAAATAAAAAAGCCAAAATTCACAGGTCTAGGGCTTATACAAGGCACCTCTCTTGATTCGTTCGGTTAAGCGTGCTTTTTGCAGTTTATAAAGCACGTTTTCGTGATCTGCACTATTTTCCACTGTATGGCGAGTATATCCATCACCAGCATGCAAATTGATTTGATTAGTTGTATCTAGCATTTGCCGAGCTTAAAAAAAAGAACGATTGTTGAAGAGTTTCTATGAATACCTATAGTTAGAATCTTCTCATCCTCATCTTTTTTGGTAACGTTTCCCAGTTGCAAAGCATGGATATGCTTGACTTCTTGGAAGGCTCCGATAAGAGTGTTCAAACGATGAATTAACATTCCTGAATCGAATAAATTTGAATGAATGAATGAATAATGAACGATACCGATTGTTTGAACGATGAGGATACCAATAAGGAATATAATGATACCCATTCCTAATGGGTCTATCTTCAGAGGATCTTCGGTTTCCTCAAACTGACCATTCATTTCATTCATCTTCGTCCAAGTGAAACCATCTGTAACAGAACTGTTAAACGGAAAATATCCAAGACGAAATAAACCATAAGGAGTCCACTTAATACTCAGAACATTTTTATGTTTCTGAATCAAATAAATGGCCATAGAAAGGAGTGCGTTGAAAAGGAGTACGAAGAAAGCCACATTGTTACGAAGACTAGCTAACCCTTCGGCAATCTCTCGCTGTTGAGTAGGAGTTGATTTAATAGGTTTTAAGTAGGTTTCGATTAATTTGTTCCAGAACGTCTCCTCTGCTCCTTTCAAACGTCCACGATCGCAGCTCTTCAAATAGTTTGTTCCCATCCAAGTATAAGGATTTTTGTTGGCTTTCACGACTGCTGAACTTTCCTCGCCATCTTGGATCAATTGCAAACTCTGAAACCCTGCTATTAAACAAATGATGAAGCTATGCTCACCTCATTGAGATAAACTGAGTTTTCTTGTTCTTCTCCTGATATCGTCTTCCATCGTTCCATTGCAGCAACTGCTTGATCACTATTCTGAAGCATTCAACGGTTTTTCATTATAAAAATGTTACTTACTTTTATCATGTTCAGCTCTTGTTCCATATGACATAGTTTTCTCTCCAAGCTCTCTACGATTGGATCAGCTTTAGCAGAGAAGCATGGGAACAAAGGTGATAATATTCCATCACCAAGCTTCCGAATCCATTTCTCTAACGGGCTATTGTTCTCAACTTTACCAGTCGCTTTGGCTACAGCTTCACGTGTACCCCAATTAATTACATTCAAATTGATCAGAGAGTAGAGCGTCAAGAAGATATACGTCGAGGGAATCATCAGGAAGAACACAGTTCCTATATTTCAGAGCTGATTAGAAAAGTCAAAGTTTGCTTACCATATATGACATTTGTGAATTCCTTGGGATGAAGACAAGCAGCAGTAAAGAAAATTAAAACCATGGCTACTACGAACATTGAAGTAGGTGAGACCACAGCTGAACATGGCAGAATTGAAAAATATATTGATTTGAGTCTACTAACTCTCAAGAACTATCTGACTTGAAGTGGCTACAAGAACTGCTAACATAACGAAGGCGTAAACGATGGACATAATCTGGTCAATCATAGAAAATATATCCTTCAACTTCTCTTACCTTGGCGTAGAATAGTTGAACGTTCGATTCTGTTGTGAAGCAAAGAACTACAAAAAGAGCGATAGGTACACCATTGTAAAGCATCATAGAAGCAGAGTCGGCTCCGAAAGCAGCAACCTTGATAATAAAACTTAAGAAAGCGTTTGTAATTAATTTTACCTGAGCAAAAACAACCATACTGAATATGATAGCAGGTCCCAACATGGAGAAAGCAATAACCAAAAACTGATATCCGATGTAAGCCATAGAGATTGAGTTATTATTTTCAGCAGCTCTCTATAAAAAAAAATTTTTCCTCATATTTGTGACAAGCTGTCATGTCAGGAAAATCTAGAGATGAACAGAAGTTCAACCTTATAATCTGCCAGAAGATCTATAGTGTTGGCGATAGATGATGGTGTCCAGCGACGTCTTTGATTGAAGAACTCCTCGAAACCTTCAGGAGCATAAGTTTCAGCATCGGAAGCGGCAGCATATTCAATACGATATCCCTAGAAAAAATTAAGCGGATCATAACCAAAAGCCTACTTGTTTAAGCATCAAAGTACTAAGCCATCTGTCTTCTCCTTGATCGTACTGAACGAAATGGCGAGGTTGATCAGCTGTTTTGGTATATTTGTGCATAATATTGTCGTCCATAAGAGCAGAAGCACGGAATAATGAGAAACAACCAGGTGCACATAATACACATCCGAAAACATGTTCAGCAGCTTTTTGGAACCAATGGGCAATAGCATACTCAAACTTCTGATACCATACCATAACACCTAAATGTAAACACTTGTCCATCAGCAAAGAGATTTAAATAACCTGATCCGATAGGGTGAATTCGCCCACAAGCACATCCAATATCACTCTTCTGATCCATTAAAGCGAGAAGACGAAGAACGGCTTCTGGTTCGAACTTGCTGTCTCCGTCAATGGCAAGAATGAAAGTATTATCGGCCATCAACTGCCGATCATCGAGAGAAGTGGCAGAATCCATGATACGGTGACCCAATAAGTAGTACATATACATAACCTAATGAAAGTGGTGAAATCTATGGCGTTGATCCTACCTGGCTCCATCGTTTTTTGTGTCTAATTTGGGTCTTATCTTTCAAATGAACAAACAACAAAGTCCCCGCTGGAAGTTTAATAACCACACGACCACCATACGGAGTATTCACAAGGACTCTAGACGCCATTCGACCATTTTCATCTTCCTTTTCGCCCGTCATTTCGTTCAGTGTTTTGAAGAAAAGTTCAAAAAACTCATTAGGGATTCGTTTTGTTTCATCGTTCTCCACAATATCACACCAAGCATCATCGAAATAGATATGACCTAAATGAATAGTTTCTCTGTCAACTCGAAGTTCAAACCTTCTAGAACGAATTTCAGTTCATCTGGTTTACTATTGGACTGTCTCCTCATATGTTCCTGATCTAGTCTATATAACATATGCATGATTGAAGCTTCTAAATTCTGTTAACTCACTTAAGAATACTGCGGAGCATCTGAGTCATCTCAGTAGCCGTTTCGTGCCACATTGTTGCACAAATATAAACGGTCAACGTCTTATTAGTTTCGTCATTACGAATAACCATATCGTCAAGCGATACAGCTGAAGGATCTTGCGTATACTTAGATGATACACTCTGGAAAACAAACACCATTTACGTATGGGAAAAATTATCTTACTATCTTGGAGATTGAACGTCTGAATACAACCAGTGATTGTTCAATACAATAACTGCTTGTCCATGGTGACAGAGCATCCATTCTGTAAGATTGTATAATATATGTTAGTTTCTCATCCGTCATACGTTTCGTCAGTTCTGTCAAACTTTCTCTGCCTTACGTAAATCCAAGCTCTGTAACTTCCAACAGCAAGCCAGATCATTCCCAAGTACCAGTCATTGAAAGGTCTTAGTGAGCCTCCAAAAGAATCACAAGTCCAACGAAGTCCAAACAGCGAGAAAATCTAAATATTCAGCTTATCGTTTCAATAGATGAGAATGCCAATTACTTTAGGAAGACCACAAGCAGACTTCAAACAAGAATACTTGATGAAAGCATAGAGAATCACAGGAGCCGCTGTCATTGGATGAACAGCAGAAAGAATTCTCATGTCCATGGTGGATAGGAAACGACTACATCCTCGAAGTATAGAATGTAAAACACAAACTGCGATAGTCAATCCAATCAGACGACTGCAAGGAAATAGTTTGGGGAAAAGTTAAGGATTGACCCTACGTATGATAAAACTTGAAGCTATGGTTCGTTATGATCTTGGAGATATAGCTCGAATCGAATTCGGAATCTGTCGCAATAATCATCAGCGAAATTACACAAAATATACGAACAAAGGCATGAGCAATTCGTGTAGAAGGATTTAATTTTCTAATACCGTATTTCGCCTTAGTAAAAAAACAGTTATGATGCTAAGAATAATCATGAATACCTGGTAAAGAGGATGGAAAAGCGTTCCTTCGTGCTGAGGGCCGATCCAGGATTCCCATAACCCTATGGAACTCAAGATTACTCCACAAGGCAGAGCCAATTTCGCCTGAAACTCCCGATGAGGCACACTACTTCTGTTACTATGATTACCGTGAATGGAACATCAATTACTGCCCAGAGATAAATCGAGCTGACAATTCCCAAGCACAGGAAGAAATGAGGAAGGGTTAGAGCACACCTCCCTATAATTATATATATTGTACAAAAGACAGAGGAGCATCTATAACTTACACATACGGAGCAGGAAAGAGTTGGTAGGACGACAAGAGGAATACATACTGGCCATCAGCTGTTGAATTGCTGATATCAACGGCAGGCAAGCAGTCAGTAAGACACATCTTCCAATATCCAACTGTGGAAATACAAGAAACACTAATATTGACAGGCCCAAGCTTCGGCAAGATTCCAATAAGAGAAGCTTAACAATGCTATAGAACCATTCCAGACGAAAAAAATACCGTGTAGTTAACTCTTCCAGCCTTCGTTCCTCTATATGTTCTAATTATAGATTGGAGTAATTCAATGAAATCCGGTAATACTTGAACGAGTGCCAAACAAAGATAAGTTGCAACAACAACAGGTGCTCTTCGCGGAACTGAAGGCAAAAATTAATGTGAATAGAGGAAAATCTACGTACCATCAGCACAAGATAAACCGTTGTTAGATGGATTGTTAATTAGGTTGGTTGACAGTAATAGAACAAACAGCTTGGAAAAGCAGGCTCCAAGAGTGATAAATATGCAACTTCCAGCAAAAATTCCCAGCTGAAGAAATGAAAATTGTTGAAAAATATTCAAAATAAAAAAAAACCTTTAAGACTTGAAGAGAAGTTACCATCCATTGTGTGAGAGAAGGTGTTTCAATTGAGGCTCGTTTATATGAGCGAAAAGCATTCCAGTGCTCATCATCAATCATTGCTCATATGAGCAAAAAAGGATGTAAGGCAATAAGACAGCATCAAGGATTACCAATATAGCCAATTATATAACTATTTGATCTATTGATTTACCAAACTACATGCTCTACTTTGAATCAAATGATTAATATTTAATTAGACAATAAATACATGACTTTATAAATAAATAGTTCGTGAAAAGGCAGAGTATGTCAATCTCTGAAAAACTATACTACATACAGTTATTAAACGATCCCAGTAAAAGTACATACTCAACAAGAAGAAATAAATTATTTGTGGACATCAACTATTACCTATCAACCAAATTATGACTAATAACGACAGACAAACTACTACCAATAACCATCCCACAATATCACATAGAAGAGAGAGATATACAAATCCACTACGTAAAGAATGAAAAGTGCCCTAAGTATCACAGACAGAGTAAAGATTATGAAATGGAAAAAGGAAATTATATTTACTGGTCATCCTCATCTTCAGATACGACTTGATTCAACTCAGTCAACCTCCTACGATAGCCTATAATTTTATTATGTTGTTCTGCTAACAGGAGCAGTAGATCCTCTTGTTCACTTTTCAAATCTTCCAATTCTTTTTTGCTCTAAAAGTACAATCTCATTATTTTTCAGGAACAGAGAACGAACGTCAAGATTTTCTACAGTTTCAGCTGATGAGATATGATTCTTATTTGTTTGAGCGGCAGCTAACTGAGCTTCTGCCAGCTCTGCCCTACTTTGCCAATGTTCAACAAGGGATGACTGATGAGTTAACTGAAATACTCCTTGCAACCTCAGGAAGCAAAAATATTATCATACATTTTGACTCTGTTCTTCAAATGCAGTATAGCCATAAGCAAGTTGTTGTTCAAGTTCGCCAAGTTGCTGCTGCAGCTGAACTACCACACTATCATGTGGGTTGGCCAGCTTACAAAAAGGATTTATGAGACTCAAGTTCATTTTTAAATATTCAAACCTGATTTACTTGATATTGTTGCCATTGCTGAGCCCAAGCTTTGTATTTTTCAGTCTCAGCACGCCATTGTTGAACCAAACTACATACGAAAAAGTCAAGAGTTCAAAAGATCACTACAAACCGTTGTAGTTCTTGGACTTGAACTTGGTGAGATTCCGCGTGTACTGAATTTGTCGATAAATGCTGTAGTTGTTGACGTAAGGCATCGACTTCAGATGTATCTTCGCTCTTCTCTGTCTGCTTAGCCAACTCAGATTTGAGTTTTTCTAAATCTTCTGAACGATATTTCGCTTCCTGTTTTAAAACAGATATTTCTTCATCTTGTCGCTTGATTAGCTCCTTAAAGAAATAATGATACAAAATTAATTACGGTATAAACCTTGAAAGATTGAATAATTCCATCACTACTGGTACTGCCCATGAAATCTCCCTTTGTTGTTATCAGCTTTACAAGCCCACCTTAAAGTCGCAGCATTAAATGAAATCAAAATCTATGGAGAAACCTTCTCTGTTTTTGAACAACTTTATGAACTGAAAGTCCAAGAAAAGTTCAGAAGGTACTTTGGCCAGAGGTTGAGGCTTCTGAGCAGCTCTTACAAACTGTTCCGTACGAGAAACTCCCTCTATTAGGGTTATTACTCGCTCCTTTCCAACTCTCCTTTCCACTAGTTGCTCGAGGGAATGTCTGATTTCAATGTAATTATCATCTGGCTCGGAGAGCGAACATTACCTGGCCTGGTCATTTGTCTGACTTACACAAGTTAATAAAATGAAAGCCATTAATCCTTTCAAAATTTGTTGTTCACTTTCAGTGCCTTCTCCACACTCGTCCACTTAAGAAAGACAGGTAATACTTTTCTTGGATAATATATTTACCCATCTGGGAAGTCAAGTAATGAACGATTTCTTGATTGGAGATAAAATAATCTACGGCGAGAGGGCAATCCTGAAGCCACACTGACAACAGCATCAAGATTCCAACTCTGGTTTGAACTCTCCTATTACCAAAAGAAATCTATAAATAACTATAAGACACGTGATAATTGAGAAATCCAACTAATTGATTGGCAATATGGCTCATTAATGAGATTGGAGATTGATCTGCAATGGCAGAAACTTGAACCCTCAATAATTGCTCCCTATATTTAAACAAATGTAGACCTGAATTTTAAAGATATCAACCTCAAGTGAACCACATCGATGAGACAATGCATCAATGAAACACTTCCAAACCAAGATTGAATCGATTCTGTAGCAGTGAGAGCTTGGATAACGCTAGCTCCTACGCTCATTGCATCACTAGGATCGGAAGAAAGCAAAGTCTCGGTAATCTGGAAGCAATTTGTACGACGTGGCCAGAATTTCTACTACCTTAATCTTTCCAAACTCATTTTCGTGAAGATAAGAAAGGAAGCAGTAGAAAACAGCACAACGAAGTTTGAAAGGCTGCTTTTCTGCAGTCATGGAAGAGAGAAGAACCAGAAGGGCTGGCCTATTTCAAAACAGTAATAACAAACAATTCGCAACAAACAAAACCTGGAATTGTTCTCTCCTGTTGGTAAAGAACAACTAGCAAAATATTCCTGATTTGAATAACTTCCTCTGATGCATTCAGCAACAGCCACAACAGTTTCTGTCAAAACTTCAACTGATACTCCTGTTTCGGAGAGAAGAACACGACATAAACTCTCAAGAAGTTCTATATGATAATATCAAAGTTTCGAAAAATGATAAGTATCTTACGCGTTTGATAAACAGCTTTCTGAGCTCCATGAGTGCTGGGACCCGCATTGTCTGGACTAACTAAGCTTCTGAAAAAATCTTGATAATTTCAATACTAATTCTATCTTTCTCACCTAACAACTTGAAGTAAAAACATCAAGTTACTGGTTCTCTGCTTCTCCCATTCGGCATCCTCGGGCTCATCCTCCGGTCCGTTTATAAAACTGAGAAATATGGCATTCAAACGATAAATAAGACTGTAGACGAAAGGTTATTAACGAATCGGTTATGAGGAACCCACTTATTCTCTCTAAAAAGTTCTTGATTCATAGAATTTTTGCGTAACAAGTTCAATATAACAAACAGACAGTCCTCAATAACAATGCCTGAAATACGGGATTTAAGTCTTTCCAATGCTGTTGAACGAACTATCTAACGGTTCTGAACCAATAATATCCATCAGAAGAACAAAAGCATTGTCATAAGCTAGAAGCTGTTGGATCTAAAATCCCGCGTGATATTTGGCCATACAAACTTTGGAGAACCTGATGATTGTTTCTACTCAACTCAGAGAGCATAAGAATAGCTTCGTTTCTAACTACTTCGCGATTGTCATGAACTGAATCAACTAAACATGCTACTCCAGAAGGTTGACCCATTACGTTAGCTTGAACTTCAGATCCTCTATGACGAAGAAGAGATGATATTAGTTGAATAGCAGCCCTGAACAACATATCATAAGATAAAATTCATAGCAAGCTGTTACCTGCGTACTGCAAACTCATAGTTTTCAATACAAGCTAAAAGGGAAGGAAGAAAGACTGGTTTCTTTAGAAGAACCTGTAAAGGAGAAATCAGAGCTCAAAGAATATACGAAAAAAAACCTCTGCAAATCTTTCTCCTAGCTCATCCTCATCTGTTGTCTCATCATCACTCGATAGAATACAGTTTAGAAGCTCTAGACTAAGAGCTACCAAGTCCGACGAGCTTTTTTCCTTATCCAAGATATCAACAAAAGCATTCATGCCCATGGATCCGACAGCTACACGCAGCTTCTTTAAAATTCATTTTCAATATTCTATCTGTTCTGATTACAATCAAACCTTTGCCATGCTGCGGAGAGTTCGAAGAGCATCTCGACGATCTTCTAAGTCGTCACAGGTTTCAAGACGCTCCACTAACTTTTCGACAATTTCTGCGCCATTATCTTCCTCTGGATAATCACTGGGTCCACCTCCAAAGAAATTACGGAAGTAAGACATTATTACCTCAAAATGCAAAATGTAAATACATCCATGTTGGCACTGTTCATTTCAATCAATACGTAAAAACAATATGAATAAACTTAAGTATATAAAAATCTCTGTGAATATTAAATTTCAAACTATAGTCTTATTGAGTTCACCTTTAAGCTTCCAAAATCATCATCATATATGCAAATGATCAAACTCGCAATGTATAATCAGCTTCAAGAGCTCGACAAAACTTAAAGGGCTGAAGAATAAGTCTGAGCGCGAAAACTTTTCTACCGTATCACTATCTCTTCTTCTCTGTCCATCAGAGTTAATATCGCATTTTGGGATTTGGGGTATACAAATGTTATTTTTTTATAAAGGTTATTTTTGGTTTCTCCAATCTTTACATATTACATAACTTTATGAATTCTACATGATTACTAACACGATATACTGTTTAATTCCTTGTTTTACTCAATTTTTTTCTTTTCTAAATTGCTTTTTGCCTCATTTGCATTCTTCTTAATTTTATTGGCTTCTTATTCATATTCTTTTTCATTATGTTATAATATCATTTTTTCTTCTGAGCATTATTCTTGTTTTTTTTAAGGTAATTTCTTGAAAAATGGCCAAGTCCAAGAACCATACCAATCATAACCAAAGTAAGTTGTTTATTTTATTATTATTATTTTATGTTTTTTGTGCTTTTTAGACAGAAAGGCTCACCGTAATGGTATTCCCAAGCCAAAGAAGCAGAGATTCATGTCTATGAAGGGAGTCGACCCCAAGTTCTTGAAGAACCTTCGCTATGCCAAGAAGAACAACGTGAGATTCCATCGCAAGGTTGCCGAAACCAAGGCTTAAATGTTCAATTTTGTTATGAATATTTGTTTCAATTGGCGTTTTCTTTTTTAATGGTGACATGACCAGTACTTTTACAAACAGCAAATTTGAAAATATATAATCACACAGAATGAGGGAAGATGTTCTACAACGAAAATTGATCGCAGATGGGGAAGGGACAGCTGAAGAAAAGCGTTATCATGTTCTCTTGGGCCATATTCGTTCGCTTATAGAAAAACCATGTCCTGAAGAAGCTTCTAAAGCTCTACGACAGGTAAAGTGGGGCGGCTTCGAGAGTGTGATTGGTGATTCCAGATTGAAGTAGTAGAGTTCTCATTGAGGAAACAAAATTTAATAGCAGAATGTTGTGCTCTGCAAAAACAAGAATACTCTGAGCTGATCGATAACATAGAGAAAGAGGTTTAGAAACCTCTAGTTTTTTGTACTCAGTAGGGATTTAGATTCTTGCAAGCAAAGATAAAATGGCTGATGCCAAGAAAGAGCTTAATGCGGCTAGATTAGTCAGAAGGAACCGTCAAGAATATGCTCAGATTGTGAAGCAGATTGAAGAGTTACCCTCCAGAGATGAGTCCGCAAGGTATCTATAGTGTTGGATTAGGACAGAAATTAGTTCGTTCTTGAAGGAAACTGGAGGAGATACAAGAAGAACTAACTCAACAACATGAGCGTCAAAGGCTACTAGAATCCAAGGTCTGAACTTTAACTTGTTATAAACCCGTTTTCTATTTTCAGCTTAATGAAAGAAGAGTTCAGTTACAAGCCTTCAACGGAATTTTAGCCACATTCCAGCAGTTCCTCGATAGTTAGTTTCGTGAAGCTTTAAATTTCGGAAAGCTGTTTCAGACGATGAAGGATTGAGTACTTCGGAACATGATGAAGAAGAGAAGGACTCGAAGAAAGATGAGAACATGGAGACTGAAATAGCTGAATGAGTTTCCAATATGAAGTTACGGGTGTACATTATTTACTCTTCCATATGATCTTTTGTAACTTAAATGAAAAAAATAAATCTCTTAACGGTTTATTTATGAAATATCTCGAATGACACTTTCACTTTGCGAACAGTGCTCGCCATACACCATTCGTGAACCTGGAATTCCCTATTCCCAAAGTGAAAGCATTTTTTTTTCAAAATTCCGAACATGTTTTTCACATTTAGTAATTGTGACTGATAAGCTGCCGCATACACTCTTCCATGTCTGTAATAAGAATTTCCCATCCCATAGTTTATAACACGCCAATAATTTGCAGAAAAGTTTCAAGTCAAGCGTATTAATAGAGAAATAATTGTAGAACAAGCATGATAGAATAATCATATAGTGTGTGAGGTTTTCTCTCTCGCTAAATCAATTTCGAATCTAGTTTCACCAACCATGAATGCAATTGTAAGTGTGAAGAGAGAAGAGTTTCATAATGTACTAATATTACTGAGTGATTCCCTATTCTATTACTTGTGAAGTATATACTTCGGTAGCAACTTGGTTCACTGGGTCTCTTACAACATGGGTCTGGATGATAAAGACTGCGCGTTTACTGCTTATCTCTGCGACCGGTCTTGATAGTCTTTCTGATAGATGTTTGAGGGTTGCGAGAAGAAAAAGAAACAGAATATAGATAGAAAAGAAAGAGATAGAAAGAAAATAAGAGATCAGAGAATAACAGAACAACCCAAATGCTCGAGAAACAGAAGCATCACAAGTAATCAGACCACGCCAGAGCCTAATGTTCATCAGCTCAAAGATTTCCACTTATCATCGATTATCTAGCTAAGAAGAGCAGGAATAGCAAAACTACTGAGTTAGCATAGCCTTCTTCCGATCATTCATCTCTTTCTTCTTTTCGCATCCCTACTACTCCTTCTTCTTCTCCATCTCCATCTCCTTCTCCTACTCCTTCTTCTTTTTCTTATTCTTCTTCTTCATCTTCTTCTTTTTCGCTTTCGTATGATGCCTGTCAGGTTATTGATGTACGAAACACTCGGCGACTGACTACCCCCCCCCCTCTCTCTCTCTGTTGTGCCGCTTGTGTCTGCGTCTCTGCAACGTTATATGCTAACTCCCACACAATCGAGTCATTTCTCGCGCGTCGCATTGCATTGTACACCAAGCAAGCCAACGGTCTTGTGCTCTTCATTTTCTAATTTTTGACTAAATAGCCAACATCTTCTTATCTATCATACTGTTTTCTTTCTGAAATTTACCTCGAAAACGTTCAATTCATGCGCTTATAAACCTCTTATCGCTGGTTTGTTCAATGATAACGAGACCAATTGCTTCTTTAAAATGCTGTTCCCTTTTTTTTGTAACGAACCTGTAACAGTTCATACTTTACTATTTCTCCTATCTCTCTATTTCGTTCCACAAAATATGTTGAAATTATGTTCATCGCACTGGAAGTCTTTGATAGATAAATTCATGCATCGGAAACTATTCCTGTGTTCATGTAGGAGGCGTGGCATCCTGTCATTTCACCTCTAGTCATTTTGCTCACTTCACTATGTACCAGATATTTTTTCGCTGTTCTTGCGCTACCCTGTTTCTCTGGCTCTCCGATTTAGGTTATTTCTCAATTTTACTGTCTTCCTTAACCCTTTTACTGTCATAAGCAGAACATTTCATAAGTTATACAGCTCTTTCAGGCTCTGGGAGGCATATTCTATGGAATAAAGAAACATCGGTCCGTAAGTCATATTAACTAACAAAAATGGCATATGGAATGAGCTCTATTTTTGACAAAACTGGTCAAAACAGCATTTGGGGAACATCATACAACTCCAACAATGGTAAGTGCCCTTTTAATTTGAATAAATTCACCTGTCTATCCTTTTAGGTGTCAATACTTTAGGATTAGGGACCAATGGGTTTAGTTCGAATAGATTACTCGATGTAGTACCACAGAAAGCGGAATCTATCAGCGGTTACGGCCGACTCACTTGGCTCTCCGCAAAAGCAGGCCTTATAACTTGTAAAGATGAGATGGTTATCTCTTTTCAACTCAAGGATTTTTGTGATCAGGTAGATTATTAGTTTTATAATCTTGTGGTTGTAATTGTGGAACGAGATTGATATATGATTTCAGTTGGTGAACGATCTGACTTCTGTACTCCGTGTGGGATTCACTCTTGCGTTTCAAGCGTCGTTAAACGAAACGAACGAGTACACCGCTACTTTGGTTCAGCCTTTATATGGAAATGTATGATGAAGCTTGTCTATGTTTTAAATGGAATTCTCTTAAGGATGCCGATGTTGTTTTCATGAATTCAAAAGAAGTAGACTTGGACGGTATTAGTCCTTCACCGACAAATGCCCGAGACCTTTATGATTTGAACAATGAAGGGATTGCATTGCCAGCTTTGCTCTCTATATTTCAGAGGCATGGAACTAATAAAATTCAGTTGAGCAGGTCAGATCAGAACAGCTGATCTTTTCGTAATTTTTTTGTTTAGTTTACATTCGCAGTTGGGACAGTCAAATGAAAACGAAATGCTTAAATACGTGGGAACATCATCTCTGAAAAGACGTCATTTCATCGAACGTCGGTCACATATTTTCATTTTGAAACAAGATGACTCTGTTCAGTTACAAGTATCTTTCAAAAGTTTTTTAGTTTCATGTTATCTTCTTTATTCCAGCATCCAAATATTTACCTCTGTGTCCTGAGTCTAGCCTCATATCTTCTACGCCGAGGAGGAGTTACAGCAATCCAAAGTCTATATGACTATTACATCAGCGCTGAAATGCCAGCGAAGGCAAAAAGTAACTTTGGGGAGGGTCGTCAAGAGTTCTTGAATCTCATAATTGGCCATCCATGGATATTTGCCCTTTTCCCAAATCGAACATATGTGTCTGTTCGCAGAAACTTACCTCACATCGACATTTCTATTTTTTGCAAGCTGGTTCGTTTTAAATGGCAATTTTGAAATCATTAATAATCGTTTTGCAGTATAAAGGTGAAAATCCTCAATCTAATGGTATCTCAGCTCAGTATACATCAATGCCTCACAACAACAATGCCGCTCCACGTACCATTGTCAGATCTTTGTCTGCTCAGCAGCCTTTCGGTGGACATTCTTTGGAAGTAAACCCAGTTTACAACAACGAATTCATGATGGCTGATGTAAGAGAGTAGTTTCATATACTTTCATATACTAAATTTCGTTATTCAGGTGATGAGCGTCGGCACTTTGAACAAACAATATTCTCCACAGATGTTCCCTTCTTTTCCTAATAGAGATGTATACAACTCGAAAGGTGTTATTGGATCCGGTTTGGGGAAAGTGAGTAGAATTTCATTTTGACTCCTGTAATGTTATCATTTGAGCTGACCTCGAATGTTGCTGTTCAAACTGAACCCATGCGTGCTGATTCTGGAGCATGTTTATGCTGCTGTACATGCCGCTCTGGCAATGCTATGTCTCGTATTAGTGGTGGTTCTGCTAGTCCACCTAGTCTTGAAAGTACTAGTCCTTCCACGGGTGATCGTCTATCTCCAGGTAGTGGCCCTGCACCTATCGGAGACAAGCCTCCAATAGAAACTAAAAAATATTATGACCCGTTCGGTACCGATCTGTTAGTTACGTTGAATAGCTTCCATCTTTAAGTTTCACTTACTCTTCTCACCTCTTGATTGTATTATCATAAAACCTCCATTTTTGGTGATTTCTTTGAATCTCCGGGCTCATCAAAATCGTGCCAATGGCTTCCCGGGTCTGATAGCTTGATTTAGTTGTACGTTAGTTTTGGCCTTCTAGTCTGGCCTCTGCCATTTTACTCGGGCACATTCCCGAATTCACTTACCTCTTGCTCATTACCACTTACCGTTGTGCTTTAGTATCTCTAAAACGATTACCAGTTGCCAAAGATTTCTCTATTTTAGTCATAATTTCTCTGATTTCCGTAATCTTGAAAAGCTCAATTTTGTTTACCCGTGACTCTTGAGATTTTGTTCATGATCTGAGACTTTCTCAGCCTTGTCACTCTAAGTTAACTGTGCCTTGGGTTGTGCATCTTTCTTATTCTGTATAGGCTGCAATAATTGTGATCCCTTCTGCAGGTATTCTCGTGTATTTAAGGCCAGTTGAAATCGCTTATCCCAGTATTTACTTTACTCACTACCCCTTTGGTGAAACTAATCATAGTCTATTTTACAGGGATTTTTTTTGTGATGATGTTATGCATCAGTCTTTCCTTATCTATTAATACGCGTTTTTTTGATCTGACCATAATATAGCTATTACATTAAATGTCCTCATGTGTCGCTCCCATGGGTTAATATATTCTCTTATCGGCTAAGCCTTCGTTGTTCTCACTTTAACTCGACATATTACAATTATTACATGTACAACGATTATAAAATTCATTTCATGGTTTCTTGACTTCAGTTAGCTTCACCCCAGTTTTCGTGATGTATCCTTATGATTCACTTGTAATAATCTAACCGTAACTGAACAGTTTTTTTGTTAAGTTTGAGTAGTTCTTTTTCTCTTGACTTAACATCATTTTTTGGAATGTCACCGTATCACAATGTACCTTCAATTGTATGCTTAATCATATTTCCCAAGCTAATTGTAGATGTCAGTGTAACATGAACTATTTACTACATGTCTACCTCAGATGCTTTGAATAAAGTGTTGCTAGGAAATACTCGAATTCTGATTCCTTTTAGCGTTCGCTCTCGAATCGTGAACGCAAAGAAACGAAAAATAGAGAGTGAAGTTTGTTATACAGTCAAAATAGAGCCTGACATGAGTTTATGGATCCTCACGCAAGCATGTGCTTGAATTCATCGTTTCTTATTCCCTCAATGTTTCAGTAAAAACCTGTACGTTCTTAGTGCACAAGAAACGATGAGATCCAAAATATGTCAGGAATGGAGAATGAAACGGATAGCAACATACTTCAGAATAATATATATAATAAATATAATATGTAATGTAATAAGTTAAGATTTATTCATACACCGTGGAGAAAAATCTCGTAAACCAAATATTACTACTGAAAAACCAAAGAGGAACAATGAAAAGCTATTTCCAACGACTAGAACTGGGAAAATGTACCATATATAAGGCAAGAGGCACAAATGCTATGAATCACAGATGCAATACCACGTTTATAAAAATTTAATGAAAATCCAAAACTAATAGGAATAAATAGGCAGTGGGTGAGCCTCTGTGTTGAACACCCATTTATCTAAAGGTATATCGGATTGCTCATCAGCAAACAAAAGATATAAATATTTGAGAGTTTCAGCGGGGAAGAAAGACTCCATCAAATCTCTGCAATGAATAGCATTATAGGATACAGGAAAAAAAATTCACCTGTAGGTTACTGGTATCTTCTTGACACTGTTCACCGAAGAATATCCATTAGGCAGTTTAGCATACTTCTCTATCGCTTGGAAGGCATTCCAACCCCATTCTTGGTACATTTTATCTCCTGAATATAACACGTAGTATATATATATATGAACCCTATACCAGTTGTGCGATAGAGATAGAACCATGCTTCAACAGCCTCAGGGCGCAACAAACAATGAGCATCCAAAGGCTGAAAACAGAAAATTAAACTGTATTCTAATTCAAAAACATACTTTAATTGATAAATCACTTGACTGTCCTTTATCCATATTGTAATAAGCTATTTCAGGACCCAACCCAGTCGGGTTCTCATACATAGCGTAACAAGCTCTACCTAGCCCCTGTGTAAAGACATGAAGATAGATGTTCATACTAGAAACACTCACTTTAGCAATCTCGAGAAATTTTTCAGGAAGACCGTTCCTGGTAGAATCTGCTAAAGTACCAGCCAGGAAGCATACCAAATGATCCTGTGAAACACATACAAATGTAACAGAGGGTACTACTGACCATTTTGGGTGAATATGTATTTCCGCCTAAAAGCTCTCCCACAAAAGAGTATTGATTTGGCTCTGATTTTCTCAGCAGTTTTTCTTCCATAGAGTTCATGGCTGCGACAAAATCATCTTGTAGCCTGAAGAAGTTCCGAGTTCATCGTGATCTTAAGGATAAAACATTATACCAATGAACACTTTTTCCTGTTTGAAGCCATTGCTTATAAAGATACTCGTAATAACTGTCTGCCCTTGCTCCAAAAGTAACTGTCGTTCCTTCTGAAAGAAATTCTTCCAAAAATATCAGTTTCAACCAAATTACCCTTGAACTTTCCAGTTGTTGGTATAAGATACATTTCACATAGCCCTTCATATTTCGCACATCCGATTTCATGAATATGAAGTGAAGTTTTGAAAGCAGTTTCTTCGTATGTTTTGTTGCCAGTGATCCTTGATAAATCACGGAATTCCAGTTGAAGGGTTGTAACCTCAGATAGAGAAGCTTCGTTTGACCAAGCCGGTGATTTGGCAGCCCTAAATTTGCAAATCAACTAGACGTTCGTAAAAAACAGCATACCCTGTCTTGAGATTTACATCACTCAAAGGAATGGCGGTTTTAGACTGTGTGAAACCGTTGAGTAATTTATCTCCAATCATCACAGATTTTAGTTTGAAAACCTCGTTTCCAGTTAAATGATAAGCACTTAGGAGTCCTCCTAGAACGCGAATCGATGTTTCGAACAAATTGACGAATCTATCCTTTTCGAAGGAAAGCTCATGTTCTATCCAATTGGTAGCTTCTTCCACTTCTGTACAAACTTATTTTTCTGTTAGTTCTATCCTTACGTACCTTCTTTCAAATTCATGATAATAGCAGTGTCTATGGAATCAACTATGGTCAATCCTGTATCGAACCATTCGCTGTAACTTTTACTTACAGGCTTCAACTGATCATGACCCCAAGCATATTTCTTATAACCGTTCCAAGCATGCTGGAAAGCCTTCCTAACAGCTTCTTGTCTTCTGTTCTGAGGTCCTAAATCAAAAGTTTATGACAAGAAAACTCTTCTTTTAAACCTTTGAAAACAGGAACATCTTGAACAGGGGCAAACTCACGTATAGGAACAGCTATTCCTTCCGGTTGGTTAAGAACTTCTTGTCTATCTTCTATTACCTAAATATTTGGAGTGAAGAATAACTTTTAACGTTTATTAACCTGAAGAATATTGTTTTGTATTAACTCAACACTATGCTCTTGGTCTGAACTATAGGATTGAACTTGATACAAGTAAAGCAAAAACGTTAGAACAGAGAGCAGACACAACGACGTAACCATTCTTTTTAACCTGGGAGCTGCCCTCCACCACTGAAAACAGAATTTAACATGTAGCATGTATCAAGACATCGATGAGTGAAAAGCACTTCGATGTTGTAATAATAGCGATACCCTAAGCAAGCGGAAGCCCGATGCACGAGCTGCATCTCTGCTAACATGATATGGCAACATTCAACGTTTTCAGTTCCACATAAAATATCCAAAACTTGTATTTATTGATAATGTTTCAGCAGCTAATATGCTCCAGTGTTGCTACCCCGCTGTTTCAACACAACACCATTTTAGCATTAGAGCGCGTTCACAGCCTAATAAATTTCTTTTTTTTAATTCTATAGACTTCAACAAATAAAATGTATGATCAACCGTAATTTATGATCATCAAATAAACAAACATGGAAAAAAACCCAATCAGCAAATACATAATATATTTTTAACAAAAATGAAACAGTTATTTACTTCTTAGCAGCAGCCTTTGGCTTAGGAGCGAGTGGTTGCCCAATGTCTTTTCCACGAAGCTTGACCTATAGCAGAAAATGAGTTATGCTTAACAGAAGGAGTGCTCTTTTGACTCACCCCAAGAGCACGTTCGAGTTTGTTCAAGATCTGCTGGTTAGGTACGGCCTTTCCGTTTTCATACTCAGATACAACTTGGGGTTTTTCGTTGATTGCCTGTAAGAGAACATCGAAATAAGAATCACTAAAACATTTCTTCACCGTAGATAGGTCTTTTTGAGTCCATTCCTTCGCGGCTCGAGCTTGTTGCATAGCTTTTCCAAGGGACAGTGAAACTCTTTCGTGATGCAACTCTTCGGTTTCCTCATCCAACCTAAATGTTTTCGTATTGCACATTATTGTTAGGTACATCACCTCAAAGTGTTTTTGTTTGATGTATGTTGTCGGTTGCCACCAGACATCATTTTCTTTTGGGTTTCAATTTGAGCTCCGCTTCGAATGGCAGCATTTAATGCCTTTAAATTATTCTTAATCTCGAAAAATGTTTGTTTAACCCACTGCTTGAGAACCTAACTTTTTCTGAGCTGGACCACTCTTTCGGAGCACAGTAACTGAGTTAGCGTCAGTATCAGAAGTTGGACAACCGTACTTTGACATTTCGACGAATTCAGATTCTTATAAGTCACTAAAGAGAAAAGAAATTAATATTTTGATTGCAACCTGGAAATTGGAGAAAAGATTATGTTAACAATGATCTTCTAGATTTTTCTATCAAGCAAACGAAACTGGGGAAGGGTGGTAAACAGCATACATATAGATGCAAGCTGTTTACAAACAATGTGCATTAGTCCAACGAATCTTATAATCAATTAATTGTTTCTATTTACCAATAACGAGAAGTTAGTTTTGATGTGTTGAAGTTTAGAAGAAATCGAACAATAAACTAGTTATTAACAGTTCTCTACTAAATACTCGAAATATCTATCAATATTCTAAAGTTACGAAAGAGTCATGACGAAATATTTTTAGGTTCTATACACAAACTACGGGTGATAACACTAGCTTATCCACTATGGCTGTGGACGAGCTTGTGGAATCTATTGAGCTTCATAATAGCAAACCCTATTGGCAGCATCTATATGTATCTCCCTTCGTAGGTATCAGATTTTATAATATTGCGCAATACTGAAGCAATCATCAAGGTTTACTAAGCGTTTGGGTCTATATTTGGATCACAGTGTACGGGTTTGAAGAATATTATGAACTTGGATGCATAGGAATAGCTATAGTCTGTCTGTTACAAGTAAGATACTCAAATGATCCTATTCAAAGCATCGTTCTAAGGCTTTGGTGTTCCTATTCTGCCATTGGTTTGTCTCTGTCAACTGTTTTTTCACCTGTTCGTATGTAAGTTTTGATATTTTGTACGGTCATACCTTTTATGGTTAAGCAACCTGATCCTCTGAAAGCTACTGTAGCGAAAGTGGTTCCTACTCTCAATAATGGGTGGGCAGAGCTTGTTCCTTTACGGAGACAAAAGGTTTGAAGATCTTCATGTGGGGTTAGTCGATTGCGATATTATAGAGGGATGGTGAGGTCAAAGTGACTTTCGAGTTTCAAAAAGTACATTACACGTTGAACAATGAAACACAGCAGTTCGAGGTGATCAAGCTTGACACTAGGAAAGCGATGAGGTGAGAAATGCTCAAAAACTTGTAGAAGTTTCAAGTTTTTGAGACTTTATCAAACATCCACGGGCTTGGACGATCAGGAACTTCGAGATGTACAATTCAAATATGGAGACAACAAGTAAGTATTGATCAAAAGATTAAATTAAATAGGATTCAGAACTGAAATGGTCATTCCGCAATTCTGGGAGCTCTTCAAGGAGAGAGCTACAGCTCCTTTCTTTGTTTTCCAGGTGAGTAGTTAATGTCGTTTTATTTCTTCAGTCTAATCAATTCAGGTTTTCTGTGTTGGGCTATGGTGCTTAGAAGACATGTGGTACTATTCTTTGTTCACATTAGCCATGTTGGCGACTTTCGAAGCAACCCTTGTTAAAGCTCAGATGAAAAACATGCAGGAAATTCGCAATATGGGAAATAAAAGTTTTCCTATTAATGTTTGATATCTCGTGTTTATCAGATTATTCATGGCTATTTCAGGTGTACAGAAACAAAAAATGGCTGAAAGTTAAAACAGATGAGTTGGTGCCTGGAGATATTGTTTCCATTGGTATGTTATCCACCATCTCCCATCCTTTCAGCTGTTTGTAGGACGATCGGCTGATGAGCAAACCGTTCCATGCGATATGATTTTACTAAGAGGCCCTTGCATCGTGGATGAATCCATGTTAACAGGAGAGAGCGTACCCCAAATGAAAGAGCCTATAGAAGATCTGGAAAAAGAGCGTTATTTTGACTTTGATTCTGACAACAAGTTACATGTTATTTTTGGAGGAACGAAAATAGTTCAACACACTGCTCCAGGTATGCTACTTTATTCCGCTTTTTCCTCAGTACTGTTCTCATCTCAGCTAAGGGAGAGGGTTTAAAATCGCCTGATGGAGGTTGCATTTGCTATGTTCTTCGAGTAGGGTTCAACACTAGCCAAGGAAGATTATTGAGGTGTCGTTTCATAAACTGAGATAATAGTGACATGCAAGTTTCAGAACTATCATGTTTGGCGTAAAGAGAGTCACTGCCAATAATTTCGAAACCTTCTGTTTCATAATGTTCCTTCTCATCTTCGCCATTGCTGCATCTGGTTATCTCTGGGTTAAAGGTGATAATATATTTCTTAGAAAATGTGAGACATTTGTTTATTCACAGGATGTGAGGACGAGAAGCGGAACAAATATAAATTGTTTTTGGAATGTACTCTGATTCTCACTAGTGTCATCCCTCCTGAACTTCCAATCGAACTCTCGTTAGCAGTTAACAATTCTCTGATTGCCCTCCAAAAACTTGGTGAGTTGTTTCAGACTTGTATAATAACAGATCAAATACCTTTTAGGAGTGTTTTGTACAGAACCTTTCCGAATTCCTTTCGCTGGAAAGATTGATATTTGTTGTTTCGATAAAACAGGAACATTAACAACTGATAGTCTGATTGTTGAAGGAATAGCTGTTAGGTATAATTTGTTTTTATATTTCTTCATGACTCTATTCGAACAGTACGGATCCCGAGAAAGGAATGATTAAATCTGCTTCGGATGCTTCATCTGAGGCTATTCAAGTGTTAGCTAGTTGCCATAGCTTGGTGAAGTTCGACGATGGTCTTGTTGGAGACCCACTAGAAAAAGCATGCCTAGCTTGGTGTGATTGGTCAGTCACCAAAGCTGATGCAGTTATGCCTCCAAAAACCTCCAAGCAGGCCGGGATGAAAATATTCCATAGATACCATTTTTCATCCGCCATGAAACGCATGACAGTAATTGCTGGTTATCAAAGCCCCGGTAGTACGGATTCTCAGATGATTGCTTGCGTGAAGGGAGCTCCAGAAACTTTGCGATCCATGGTTTGTCAACTGCTAGCTTTTTTCTCAACGTTTTTTTGTTCTCAGTTCTCGGATCTACCGAAGGACTATGATGAGCTGTTCACGAATTTGTCTCGGCAAGGTTCTCGGGTTTTGGCTATGGGTATAAGAGAGCTTGGCCCAATGAAAACAGGAGAAGTCTGTTCGAACATTATATGAAAGTGAATTTACTGTTTTATTAAGTTACGTGATAAGAACAGGGAACATTTTGAAGTTGACTTGAAGTTTGTGGGATTTGTAGTAATTTCTTGCCCGCTGAAGCCCGACACAAAAATCATGATAAAAGAAATCATTGAAAGTTCCCATAAGGTGGTTGCCACTAGTTATTCGAGTGATTATGTATGTGTTTCAGGTTGTCATCATAACGGGTGATAACCCATTGACAGCTTGTCATGTTGGAAAAGTACTCAAGTTCACTAGCAAAAAGTTGAAGACCCTTGTACTGGATGATCCTGGTATTGGAGGAACTTGGGAATGGAAATCAGTCGATGAAACAGTCACAGCACCAGTTGTCCCAGGAGAAGGCAAGGATTTAAAAAAATTCTTGAAGGATTACGAGTTCTGCGTAACTGGATCAGTAAGTTGGAAAATATTCGAACTTTTCGAACGTAGTATTCAGGCCTTTGCATACTTACTAAGTGAAAACAAGAAATTACTCAAACAGCTACTTCCTCATATACGCGTATATGCACGTATGGCTCCGAAACAGAAGGTAATATTTTTAGCTATTTTTCAGTTCAACATGCTTTTACAGGAACGAGTTATCAACGAGCTGAAATCACTTGGATATGTAACTCTAATGTGTGGAGATGGAACAAATGACGTTGGAGCCCTGAAACATTCGAATGTCGGTTAGTACTTTTCTAATTGATTAGTTCTATTTGAGCTTTTAAGGAGTCGCTCTTCTTTCTCATCCCTATGACGCAACTAAAGCTGAACAAAAAGAGAAAGAGAAACAAGCTAAGATTGACGAAGCTCGGAAGCTTATTCGTGAAGTTCAGTCTGGTGGAGGTCCTGCACCCCCTGGTGTTCCTCATGGTGTAGCTCGTAGAGGAGATCCTGTTGCTAACCGAGTTGGAAGGTTTCACGCTTCCTTATGCATCAATTTTCACCTTTTTTCTCTAGACCCGTGCCGCCCTCAATCTCGAATGCTCAGAGACGGCTGGATCAAATGATGAAGGAGATCGAAGAAGAGGAGAAAGCTGCGGTAATCTAGTCGTCTCAAAAATAATTATCAGTTCTCTTCAGGTGGTAAAACTTGGAGATGCCTCTATCGCCGCCCCCTTCACTTCAAAATATACCAGTATTGCCTCAAGTGAGAACACATAACTTCATTTCAGTTTCTATTAATGCTTTACAGTTTGCCATGTAATCAAACAAGGAAGATGTACCTTAGTAACGACTTTGCAAATGTTCAAAATTCTAGCTTTGAACGCTTTAGTTTCTGCCTACTCATTATCAGTTCTATATTTAGATGGAGTAAGTAGTGTTTTCAAGTAACTGTTATGTGTTATGTTTCAGGTGAAATTCAGTGATACCCAAGCCACCATTCAGGGACTTCTTCTTGCCGCCTGTTTCTTATTCGTTTCCAGATCTAAGGTATCCGTTGTTTGAGGCATTTTTTTTGATCAAATCGTTTCAGCCATTGAAAACTCTCTCAAAACAACGACCAATGGCCAATATTTTCAATGCTTATACTCTTCTGACAGTCACTTTACAATTTGTAGTTCATTTCGGTTGCCTGCTTTATATGGTGCAGGAGTCGAAATCATCTGAGAACATGTAAGACGATATTTTTTTATAGCATTCAGAAATTATTTAGTAATGAACCTATCGACCTGGAAGCGAAGTTCACTCCGAACATTCTCAACACAACTGTCTACATAATATCCATGGCTTTACAAGTCTGCACTTTTGCTGTTAATTACAGGGTGAGTTTTTTTATTGTATAATCATGAGCTCGTTCTGTTTAGGGTCGTCCCTTCATGGAGTCTTTATGGGAAAACAAAGCCATGCTCTACAGCATCATGTTTTCCGGCTTCGCAGTTTTTTCTTTAGCTTTTGGAGCTTCTGATGACATGATGACACAATTTGAACTAGTAATTTTACCAGAGCAGGTTCGTAACCTCTGTTCACAGTTTTCAAAAATAACATTTTTTCAGCTCCGTGACAAGCTGGTGTACTGCGTTTCCTTTGACTTGGTTGCTTGTTTCACTATTGACAGAGTATTAAACTTCCTAATGGGAGATATGTTCTAAAATCGGCCATCTGTTGTGTCTTAATTTATAAAGTGTTTAAGTTATTTTTAAGTTATAAGATCATTGTTAAATTCGATCTATCTTTTCTGTGATTGTGAATTAAAAGTGTTGTGACTTATGAATACTAAATTTTTTTCTGAACCAAGTATTAATTGAACGGGTTGTGGCCCAACCTTTTCTGCATTTCATTCCATATATAGTTAATTATCCTTATTTGAGCATGGGTGACAATTTGGATGAAACATCTGAAAGAACTTTACGGAACTCTATAATAGAAGAGTTACTGAGCCGAGCTCCACAGTTTTCTGTTCACGATACTTTCTCGTAATGCTCATTTGAAGATTTGTTCAACATTCTTACAGATTGCACCATTATGATGTAGAACCTGATATTAACAACTTATTGGAAAACCTGATTCTCCCTCAGGAGAGTGCTCTGAATGTTCGTCCTATTCTCGATGAATTTGGAGAAATCGTGGTATTCTCTTCAAAACAGAGCGTTCACAAAGTTTTTTTAGCGTTTCGAAAACTATGTTCTTGATCCGGAAAACATTGCTAGTGCCACATGCTCTATGTCGTTGAATAGGTTTGTCCAACTGTAACTTTGTTTGTTTACTTCTTAAAACAGATTACCAGATGCCTCAGCTGCCAATAGTGTTAGGGGAAGTGCATCTAACATTCCTTTTTTTCCTGGTTTGACAAGACTGTAAGCTTTAAATTTTGGTTTTTCAGGCGGGTTTGAAAAAAATTTAATATCTGTCCTGGATAGTGATATGTTATCATCCGAAACAGATAAAGAAGAGCAGAAGTATTTAGAACCAAGTGAGTTAATCATTGAGAATATCAGAGAAAAATATCACAACCGCTCATTTGTGTTCTGCAACACAAATAAACATTTGATTGAAACGAATCCTTCACACATGTTCTGTGAAATTTTCAAATGAAGATCGTTTTAAAAACTCATTACAGTTGAACTGTTACGTATACCTCCTAAATGGGAATATGGAATGACATACAATCAAGAAGTGGTAGACACGGAAAAACCGTCTGTGGCTTCAAACTCTCAAATGGAAGATCTTGACATTTTCGAGCTTATGGATATGGTTGGAGGAGGTTAAGTGTGATTTAATCGTTTACTCATCATATGAATTCAGTCAGTGTTTCTACGCTCAAAGAAGTTGTTGAAGCAAAGGGTGAACCTGAGGTCGAGAAGAACGATGAAACGAAAAACATCGAATCCGCTGAAGATTCTGAAAATCTCTCAGAAATTGATGAAGTTTTGGCTCAAAAATTGCAGCTAGCACTGGAGAATATCCCGGCTACAAAATCAAAGCATAATTTTATCAACGTAATTGGTACCAATAATGATGTACCCGCATTCCGAGAAGTAGAGCCACGAATGGCCAAGAAAGTAAGTCTTGTTCTGATTGGTTAATCAAGCTGAAAGTGTTTCTAGTATCCGTTCAAACTTGATCCTTTCCAACAAGCCTCAGTAGTCGCAATGGAAGAAGGAAATTCTCTTTTTGTAGCTGCACATACGTCTGCGGGTAAGACTGTTGTAGCTGAATATGCCATTGCATTATGTAAAGCTCATAAAACAAGGTTTTTCTGATATAATATGACTGATAAATTCCGAGTTCAGAGTCATTTATACTTCACCGATCAAAGCGTTGTCTAATCAAAAGTATCGAGACTTCAAGCTTGCTTTCAATGATGTCGGGTTGGTTACTGGTGATATTCAGATAAATAGTGAAGCATTTTGTCTGATAATGACAACAGAGATTCTGAGGTAACACCTAAACATCTATCACTTTATGATCATTCGAAACAGATCAATGCTTTACAATGGCTCTGAGATCATACGTGATTTAGAGTGGGTAATTTTCGATGAAGTTCATTACATAAACAATGATGAACGAGGACATGTTTGGGAAGAAGTCAGTGTACAAAACAGTTAATGGTTTCCTATCATTATAAATTAAGGTCCTCATCATGCTTCCAAGTCATGTGAAAATAGTAATGCTTTCCGCCACAGTTCCCAATTTTGAAGAGTTTGCGGATTGGGTAGGGTAAGAATTTCCTAATGCGGCTGTTATAAGTTGATAGTTTTGAAGACGAATTAAGAACAGGAAAATTACGGTCGTTAGTACGCTGAAGAGACCTGTGCCTCTTGAGCATTGGATATATGTTGAATCTCACGGCAAGACTAAGGGTAGCACTGAGGTCTATAAGCTTATTGATAGCAATGGATGCTGGAACACTGCTGCCTACAAAGCTGCTGTTGCTGCCAAAGTTTTATTCTGAACCATATCATTTACTATATTTTTGTTATAGGAAACAACAAAAAACAATGAAACTGGTCGCGGTCAGAACGCTACAAGGGGTTACCACAACCAACAACAAGGTGATGGTTATTCATTTAGTCATAAACATGGAGATTCAGGCTACGGTGGTCCTCATAATCGTGGGCAAAACAATCATCAGAACTATTCGAATTCTCCTCATCATCGAGGTGGAGGAGCAGGAGGAGGAGGAAGAGGAGGAGCAGGAGCAGGAGCAGGAGCAGGAGCAGGAGCAGGAGCAGGAGCAGGAGCAGGAGGAGGAGCAGGAGGAGGAGGAGCAGGAGGAGGAGGAGGAGGAGCAGGAGGAAGTTACAGAGGTCGCGACGGACACGATCATCACAATCGTACTGGAGGAGGAAACTTCAAGCCTAAACGGAACGAGAAAGGCATCTACATTAATATTATCAATTTCCTGAAAAACAAAGAGCTGCTTCCCATGGTTTTCTTCGTTTTTTCACGGAAGCGTTGTGACAGTAATGCCCAGCTGGTCTCAAGCTTAGATTTAACAACAAACGTTGAAAAGAATCATATAAAGCTCTTCTTCAATGACTGTATCAATCGTTTGAAAGGCTCTGATAAGAAACTACCACAGGTTGAATTGTTTCACTTAGTCTAACTGTTCCCTGTTATTCAGGTTCTTATCATGCGGGAATTGTGCCTCCGAGGATTTGCTGTTCATCATAGTGGAATTTTGCCGATCCTCAAAGAAGTTGTTGAGTTACTCTTCCAAAAGGGATATGTCAAGGTTTACTTTGAATTATTAAATTTTTCATAATGCTCTATAGATTCTCTTCGCTACTGAAACGTTTGCTATGGGTGTGAACATGCCCGCCAGGTGCGTCGTATTTGATACTGTTGAAAAACACGATGGGACCACGAAAAGACCTCTGAATCCTGGGGAGTATGTTCAAGTATGTTCTTAAAACGAAGTTTTTTCCGAGTCCACTCCATAGATGGCTGGACGCGCAGGACGGAGAGGGCTCGATTCGATTGGAACTGTAATATTGTTGGCAAAAGAGCAAAGTCTACACGATGCCGGGTATTATCAGAATATAATGCTGGTATCTTCTTTGTATTCGTTTCTTTTTTTGTAAATATTTCTTCAGGGAAAAGCTCTACCACTTGAATCTAAATTCCGTGTTACTTATTCTATGTTATTGAATTTACTTCGGGTTGAACATATACATGTTGAGCAGATGCTTCAACGATCTTATGTAGAAAGAACATCATTAAGAGAAGAAGAGAACAAAAAACTTATGCTAACTAAGGTGAGAAGCTATTTCTCTGTTTCTTTACAATTTTTTTTTCAGGTTCAAGAAGAACTCAATAAAGCGGGAAGTTTGAGCTGCTCATTATGTAGTGATAATTTACCTGAATATCTCTCAACACTAGTGGAATATTTCCAAGCTCGAAGCGATATTTGGAGAGAGTTCTACAGTAAGTATTTGAACTACTTTTCATTTTGTAGTTCAATGTCCAATTCAGAAACAAAGAACGGTTCGGTAGTGTTTTCTACTGGAAGAGTAGTGGTTGTTTCAAACTATGAACAGCAACTGGACCATGCTGTAGCTATTCTGCTTCAAGTATTTAAAAAAATATATATTTTTTTAAATTTTATGTTAAGGAGACAGGAAAATCAGAAATGAGAAAGTTTTCTGTGTTAGTTTCCTGCGATGAGATGTATGCCTACAACTTTACGAAGTTATCGAGCGAAGTCAACTAAACCTTTTTTATTCAACAAAACAGAGCTAAACAATTTAGGATCCAGAGTGGAGTCAAAATTGCCACAGGATGAGAGGTGTTTGCAAATTCGGATTAGATGGTGTTGGACGGCAGTCTAATCTTGGAACTGGTGTTTTCAAAATAGTTGAAAATATCACATTCGGAGACATCGTGTCCGTTACAAAGAAACAGTTGAAACTCGACGTAGAAGAAATTTTGAATGAAGGAAATAATCGTAAGCAGGCTCGTTTCAGGTCAGTCATTAACTTTAAAAAAGAGAGTCTAACAAGCAAAAGCTGTGTTTCCAAATTTGTTGAGAAGTTGAATATTATCTAGTCCTATGGAGTAATTATCTCTTAGCCGGTCAGCTATGAAATGGATCTGAAAAGCACAGAAATAAGATTTTCTACTCCTCAATGGAACTCACAGCATGTGTTCCAGGAGCTAACATAACATGATAGTTCTTCCATTGGCGAGCATGAATGTCTATATCTTTGCCTTCAATAGTTAAGGGGCAGGTTGTGAGAGTGTTTAAACATATTCTTAATCTGCCATGTATTCCTGCTAAGAATATGAAAAAGTCTAAACGAGACTCTTCCAAGATATTGATAGGCTCATTCGTTGAGAGAATATACGTTTCCTCATAGTTTACTTTTGTTCCTCCCGCATACACAAATGTTCCATCTCAATGATAAGTTTAAGAAAAGGAAATTGAATTTTCTTCTAACTTTTGCTCAAATCATGCGGTATGCCAGTAACAGAGTTCAGGATACCACTATCTGCAAGTTGCCAGCTTCTCAAAGTTGCATTTTGGCGGCTGCTCTCGCTCGTCACATAGTTACAGAAAGTCTGTTGAGCAAAACATTGGTACTGAATTCAGATCTTCCGCAAAACCTTGTGATCAAAAACACAATCTACTGATGGACACATCGGGTGGAACTGTGGTCCAACTCTAGGAGAAGGTTGCACAGTAGTTGTTCCTTCAAAGGTCGGGGCCGCATAGTTAACTGGACGATGAGCAATATCTTGCGTAGAGTGTCCGTCTTCCCAACGTTTCAGTTGAGCCGGGTCGTTGTTCAGTGAAATTTCTAAATTCTCAGTCTATTGAAAGTAGATGTAATTGCTCACCATTTTCTCTTCTCCCAATCTCGATTAGTTTTGGGGATACTGTTGCAATGTCTCCAAAATTTCCCCCTGCACCGGCATTACCTCCTTCAGTATTAATTTCTAAAAGGATTGTTTCTAGTTAGATTGAGGGAAACTAAGAATAGAACGTAGATTTATTTAGTGTGAAATAAGGTGATAGAAACAATTTGATAGATCTAATGCCGCTTTCGCATGTTCATTCTTCTTGCTCGGTCGCGCATCATTTTCCTTGTAACTTTGAACGGTACAATTGGAGGTGGCAGGTTTGTGTTTTGAGATATATATGGGTCTTCTATGGGTAATCCCATCGTTCTTCGCATTAGCCGTTCAATGAACTGTTTCTTGAGAGCCATAAAGCCTCCTGGTTTTTTGATGAGACTTAAATCCATTCCTCTTGTCAAGCCTTCCAAGTCTGGAATATCCTTGAGCGCTGATAGATCGTTCATTGCACCGTTAGGCAAAATGTTTGCTAGTTCTGTCAATTTATTAGCGACATCAGATTCTGTTTTCGTGGGCTTTTGGAAAATTATAAGCTCCGTACTAGTTCGAGGGGAGATCGTCGTGGTAGCTGCTGAGTAAGAGTTTTTTGCAAAAAGTTTGTTGTGAATCTCTGATAGTTTCCGTATATCATTTGTATTCAATTTTGACATATCAATTAGTTCATCTCTCGCGCTTTTATCTTCAAACTTTCTCTGACGTAGAAGTTTGACAGGATAGATAGTCGGTGTAATTTCGATAGGTCTCAAAGTTGTTGCAATCATTCCAAACGTATTTTCCATTGTAGAAGATGATCTTAGCGTAGGTGTTCGAAGAGATTGAGGTTTTATGATACTATTGCTGTTTTCTTCTCCCATGAAAGTGAACTTCTTTGCTATATCCATTAAAAAATTGTCGTTAGGAGCTTGTTGAGCTGGTGCTAAAGGCCCAGTGTTGTAAAAATGAGAAGCTTCAACAGGAACACCAATAGGGTTCACACCATTGGCTGTTCGAACTCCATTGACAATACTCCCTATTGGTGGGTCTATACGTGTTGTGTCTAATGAAGATTGCAAAGAACGAACTAATACAGGAATATATGGTAGAACTGGAGCAGTTTGCTGTAGTAGTTTTACAAAGTTCTCCAAAGGATCTCCTTTTGGTGGACTCAGCTCGGGCACAATTGGACTGACGGAAGTTGTTGCATTAGAGGTACTGGATGATGTCTCTTCTTCTGATGGTGTGTCCTCGGAAACCGTGGGAACCGATGTTGTGGTAGAGGGAGAAGATGTTGTGAAAAGGTTCTCAAACAGATTCACTGTAGTGGATGTGCTTGTAGGAGTTGGCGATGTTGAAGTAGAAGGGAACGTTGAAGTAGAGGTAGCACTAGTATTTTCTTCTTTTCGAGCATTGTTCTGCATGGTATTCTGAGAAACAATCAGCATGGTTTGACCCTTGAAATGTTCCGATTCTCTCAGCAACTGCCAATCATTATACCCAATTAAAGGAGGAGAAGCGGAAGACGATCGACGCTTCCGTATACTTTCAGGATTGCTTTGTTCACAGGCTGAAAAAGATCTGCTCAGGAAAATATTTTATGGAACTTTTAAGAACTTCTGCGAATTGCTCATTCCTGAGCAGATCTTTCTATCAGTGCCAACTCAGGAAATTAGAAGAAGCACTCACCACATAATGCAGCTTCAAAAATGATTTCATCTATCGCGATAAGATCAGAGGGGGGGAAGTATGTGGCTCGGAAAAGGATCTAAGAGAAAACCAATGTAGGAGCAATATACATTATTTCATACCTCAAAAGGCTGGCTAATTGGAGGCAACTCAATGACCCGATATATCCATTGATGACCGTGAGTAGAAGAAACTCCATCGTAACAACTAGAAAGCAAGACAGTAAGAGATCATAATGATGTAAAATTTCTGAAGATACTCTAGTGAATATGCATAGACTAACCGTAAAGATGAAGGTTCTCTACTTCCAGGCGGTTGACGGATGCAAACATCTAGTTGTGACTGCATTCCAGTTTGATAATACCAGTACTTGATGTTAGCTCCTCCTAGAGAGAAGGATACATTTGAAAAGTAATTTCACTTACCTAGTTGACAATTCACAACATCTGAAACAAGAACAGCTTGTGTTCTTCCCATAAAACCTCCGGTATAAGCAAAAGGTTGATCTTCAAAGCATAGGATATCTTCAACAAATATAAGATTGCCTTACCGTCTCCTTCTCGCATGGGTATTATGCTCAATGAGCTATCGATGTCTAAGTGAGAGGAAATAATCCAATCACCTGAATCATCTGTTGCGTTTCTCCACATGCATGGTGAAGTGAAGTCACAATTCAGTTCGGCAGAGACATTTATTTCAGTTTTTCCTAAATTATACTTGTTCAATTTATTATATTGAGCTAAAACTGACCTTTTTTAACCAAAAAAAAAACAACGAGCACGTGAGATATGAGTAACTGGAGTTTTCCCATTTAGGGATATATTAAGAAAGTTTTCGAAAACTTTGAGAAACTTGTGAAGTGGTGTAGGTATGACTAAATTTTGAGTGAAAAGGAGTGACCAAGTGACCTATAAGAGGTAATTGGTCCTCCGAAGTCTTTTCTTTTCTTCTTATTATCCGCTCATCGTTTTCACTAGTGAACAATATTGAGCGACATGATGATTGTTCTAGGTCTACCGAAATCCCTCTATCCATAATGAAGAACCTCCAGAAGATGAATTCGTTGGCAAACGAATGGGCATCGGAGCCAGCACTGGTTAGACTTTAGAGGTGGTTTCTGGCAAAGATATTTGTTTTAGACTGTTGAACCAGAATCAGAAACCAGCGTTGTTAACATGGATTTTATTGAACTTCCTTCAACTGTCAAAATGCTCCGACAAAATCTTCTTAATCCTACTTTATACTCTGCAAGACATTGCCCGGAATTACTGGAACACGTAAAACATTCAACAATTGCATAATACCTTCGTCTTTTTGTAGGCTGAGAAAGCAAGCGAAACATGGGCCTTGAGAAGAAAAATTCATGAACTGGAATTCGACTTATCTACAGGAGCTCTACTTCTAAGCGATGAGTACAAAGATCACATGAAGGTGCTATTATTTTTCTTTGAAAAGTCTAATTACAATTCACAGATGTTAACCACTCTAGGTTATGTTGGCAAAGACAACATTGTTACTTTCAAAGGACGAGTTGCTTGTGAAATTCATCATCGGGTATGGGAAATTATTCTTTCTTATATATTCGAAGTTTCTTTTAGGAAATTTTAATCGCTGAGCTTTTGTTAGAGAATAAGCTTCATGATCGTAGTCCTGCAGAAGTTGCAGCACTGCTCTCAGCTTTCACATGTCAATACAAGCAAGGTGATGGAATCAAGTTCAACTTGGACACTGACGAAGGAAAGCTTTTCTATCAGGTTTAATGAATTAGTATAATTTCTCTAAAATGTTATCTCAGTTGAAAATGGACGTTGTTGATTTGTCAGAGAGGATTAATAAACTTGCCTCTGACTTGAGGCTGAAGATTATGGAAGTTGGAGATGAAGTTCGCTTCGACTTGGTCCCAGTTGTTTATGACTGGGCCATGGGAAAGGTTCTTACTAATTTTCTTTTGAAGTTGATGCAAAGATTATGTTTAGCCTTTCTCTGAAATTATGATGAAAACTGAATGCCAAGAAGGACTGATTGTGCGTTGTATCCAGAGATTGAGTGAACTGTGTAAAGATGTACGGTAAGTAGAGTTTCCTCCATCGATTCCTTGAGTAGCAGAAAAAAAGCTAAACTGATATTTCAGGAATGCTTCACGAATCATTGGTGATCAAGATTTATATGAGAGAATGGAAATGGTCTCATCAGCGATCAAGAGAGACATTGTCTTCGCTGCCAGCTTGTATACAACAGTTTGAGTCGTTTTTGTTGTTTCTGGGATTCCTGTCAGAAATTTGATTACTTGAGTGGAAAAGAAATTTTTATGTTTGACATATGACTCCTTTTTGAATACGCGGGACTCAAAGTTGAAAAATATTTAGGGAACGATGGTATTTTTTTGCTCGAGTCGTTCATTTTTTCATATGCGGACAATTAACTTTAAAGAAAAATATGTAAAAATGAAATGAAATTGTTTGTTTTTAGTTGTTCTCGTCTACTTTTTCTTTTCAAGGAAGTCTTGCATTGCTATAATAGAGCATTAGTCATCTGAATGTGTTATTTGGTGACCAGTTTTAACCTCCAATTATAGCGCTTCTTCGGGTGACGTCAACTATGGTTGCCTTTGTTCGTTCAATCAGCAACTCATGCAAAATAAAACGTTCTTGGCTATTAATTTTTTTGAAGTTCACGAAAAAAATAAAATGTTTATCAACAAGGTCAGATTGCCATTTCTGTTGTTTCAGAAGAAAAGCATTGTCTCGACGACAACTTTTTACGGACAAATTAGTGCGCCGGAAATTTATGGTGGTTAGGTGATGTGAGAGGGCTAGTGCGACTATTCATTCAGACACACTTACCCATGTCCTTGTAAGGTTTAGTGACAACACATATACTTATTCGTTGAGAAAAAAAGCAATTTCGGATGTCCCTTGGCCGAAACAATAGTTCTCGCGTGACCTTGCTTCTATCTCTGACAATCACTGTTAACTATTCTTTCTTTTTCCTTGTAATAATTTTCTTAAATGCTTTATTGTGATCACTAAATAGCTTGTGGCTATTGTATGGTCGACGGAGTGTAACATTTTCGCCCAATTGTGCTAACACGAGAGAATAGAGAAAGATGAGGAGACCGGTTAATACAAGGAGTAGAAAAGGGCCACCGCCAAGGAACGCAACCACAATTTTTGGAATTTCTCCGTGACAATCACAACTTCACTACTTTGCTCTACTGATATGAAGCTTCTTGCCGTTCTTACTTGTGAGTTCTTTTCAAATCCCATCTGAACATTTGATATACAAACTATCCCCTTCATGGCTGCAGATTTTACATTTATTTATCATTACAGTCGTCGCCATGCTCTCCTCTGCCTTTTCTCAGGGTGGAATGGCTGAACTAAAATCTATAACAGGAGATGAGCCTTACAACGGGGTTGGAAATGCTCCGGCTCCGATACCTCAACCAATGGGCTTCTGGGGAAGACCAAGGTAGGGTTAAACAGATATACTGTCACTGTCGTGTTTAAGATATTCTCCAATGAGTTATCAACCAGGTTTTGGAGGTGGATGGTACGGTGCTAGCCCTATGGATCGTTTCACTTCATTCGGACACTCTCCATATGGTTTGTGAGTTAATTATTCGATACTAACTATAACTTAAAAGTATGAATGTTGATGTAAGCTAATGTTTTAACTGTTTTAGGGGCGGAGCCTGGACTACATCCCTTTGATATGCTTTCCAACCTATTCAGCTCTGTTTTCGATGACGATGAGCACCCACGTTTTTCTTCAGCTTCAAACCCTATGACGATGCGATCTGCTAATACTATTTCACGCAACCATTCCCCTTCTCCATCTCCATCTTTGTCTAATATTTTTTCTGATAGATCTTCATTTTCCGATAGACCTGCTCCCCGTGCATCTGCTTCTTCTGGCTCAAGTGGCTTGAACTTAGGCGGTTTCTACACCGGAAAAGGAAACTGAAAAAGAAAGAACAAATTCACAATCTTTGTAAATATAACTAAGTGCTGATCTGTTGTTCCTTCTGTCTTGTCGATTTCATCATTTTGCTTTAATTTATGAAAAAAATTAATAAAATCTCTATTCAGTTGTTTACAACGACAAAAATAATAAAATTCTAAGAAATAAATTACTATGTCTATACACAGGACAAATAAATTTTTCATATTGGCGAATAAGAGATCAAAGTGACTGAGATTGAAAGTGCTGAGTGATGAACAAATGCTGTAGGAATTATCATATAGTAGCCAATCAAAGAACTTTTCACTGAAAATGGGAGAGGCGGACATATACAGCTCCAAAAGCCAAGATAAATATATATATATAAACAATAAATAAACCCGAAATAAGGAATAAATGAGGATCACATATGGTTTTTAACCGGATGAGCAGGAAGCATGAGGAAAACAGAGATCACTTCTATAATTTCCAGTTTTAAAAGGAACATCAAGGTTTTGTTCTTTCAAAGATACAAGCGAGGCTTGCAGTCATTTTTTCTTATTAATTTCATAATGTTAATGTATCCTAATTGATTGCCGGATATCCTATGTCTAGAGTACCTGAAACGACTGAACGTTACGACGAAAGGCACATTCAATAACAGTAAGTAACTTACAAGTAACGTAACTTATAAGTAACAAACAAAACTCACTTGGATTATAGTAACTTGCATTGTTCGTTGCAGTTGGTCTTTCAACCGGAAGATTATAAGCTGATTTATGTCGAACATCAATCGGTTGAATAGGATACCATCGAGCAATACCACCTAGGATTCTTCGTTCTATAACATTTGGGTCAGAAAAAAAGAAATTGTCAGAATCATACCGTATAGAGGAATGGTAACTTGTCCAAGAGCATTGTTCTCTGAGAATGTGTCATAATCCCAAATTGAGAACTCCAAGAAATGATTGTGTAGAGCTGTTGATGGAACATCATAATAAACTTCTTGATTCCATTCTGGATCACAACTGTTTTGGACGAATCGTGTTCTTCGTTTGTGAGAAACTCTGATAATAGAGAAGGTTTGTTCGAAAATGCTATGAAAACTTACTTCCGTCCAGGCAGTAAATATATTTTAACGAAAGGATTCGGGAGTATATTTTGAGTGGAATCACGGAGCTTTAGTCCTCGAGCAGATAAAATCTAAAATAAGACAATCTCAGTAAGTTTCACTTTCATTTTCGAAATCTTAATGGATGTGTTCTTCCTCTAGAGTTCCGGAACGTGTTATGAACACATATAAAACACTTGAGTATAAAAATAAACAAACCTGAACTAGAAGTTGGGATGTAGACTGGTTGTAGGATAGAGCCACCTGAAGATGCCCTAGACATGAATCTGTTTCCTGCCGGCCCTAAATAAGAATTATAATGGAATATTCACTTGTTTCTGAATCTCAAGAATTTGAGCTAATAAAATGAAATGTATTTACATAAGCAATAGCGCGACTTCGGTTCCCGGATGATTTGGAACGACCCATCGTATCACATTTTCGATGCATAGGAACTGGTGGAGATCGTTCGGGTGACAACTCTGGAAAACAACTTAGAAATTCTGTTTGAGTTGTTGTTCTAACCACGATGACGTAGAGCTGGTAACGTGTCGTAATGATGGTTAGAATACTGCTGTTGATCGTATGAATGGTATGGCTGTTGGTCATGAGAATATCCTTCAATTCGATTATAACGTCCAGCGGTGGAATACTTCTGTAGCGTATTTGAGGATGGAGCAGATCGTCGAGGGCCTTCTCCTTCTCTGAAATTTATGTCATAGTATGCTTTTTCTTCCTCTACTGAATTACGTTCTCAAGATAATCTCGATTTCTCCAGTACTCGAGTTGACTATACGTTCGACTTCTTCAAACGTTCTTCCAGTAAGAAGAACTCCATTCCATTCAAGAACTTCGTCTCCTTCAAGATGACGAGTATTAAGACTGATCAAAAATACTCAATGAGTAACCTTCTTTTATTTCTCCCAGTATTTGACTGTGTCGGTTTTGGTTAACGCCGTTAACAAAAGCAGATAGTTCTCCGTTTGGCATTTTCTTTCCACCAACTACTCGGATGCCCAAATCTAGAAGAAAACCATATCAATCATTCTATCGTATTATAAACCGTTATAGATGTTATGATCCTTGTGTCGACGAGTCAACAAGATCCGTTTTATATGGAATCCAGGTCCAGTTGCCTCTCGATGCAAATCAAATGAGCTCAGTGCCTGTAAAGAAAAGGTTACTAAATGAATACCTAAGCCATGCTCACCTCTCTAGGAGATAAAGCTTGAGTTCTCCGAAGGCTGGGCATAGTTCCACTCATATTATGGGCAGAAAAGTTATAATTTTTATCTAAATAATATGGTAAGGGATGAAGATAGAGTTTTCTAGATCAAGAAGTCTTATCAGCCCGACTCTTATTTGAGATACTAAAAAGGAGAAGAGGAAATGATTTGCTGTAACTGATGAACACAACAATAGTACCAATTAGTAAAATATGCTCTGTATGCTATTCTTATAAGTAATATTCGAAAACTGTGAATACAATACACGCCGTGAGTTTGAAGCGTATTAATATGAGCTCTGAGACACAGATCAACCGCTCAGCATGTCTACAAGCAAGAAAATAAATTTGCTTCACGTGAACAATGTGTGACACGTTTCTCACGTAACATACGTGAAACCTTCATAGTTCCGTTTCATAGTTCTCACTTGTAAATGGTAGGTTACATCTACTTTCACTCTCATAAGAGGATTATAGTATGAACAACAAATTTTTAAACATTTTCTTAAAGTTTCATAACCAATGTGAATATTGTTCAGCCCAAATCTATTTATAACAATCATAAATTATATTTTCATTTGAATATTTGTTGTTCAGGAACATTCTCTTTTATAAGTTTTCTTTGTTTTTTATTTATAAATTAGATAAGCAGGTGAGATTTCATTTTTGTTTTTTTTTCTCTATTTTGAACACCATTCAGAGCATATTTTACCATAATTGTATTTACTATATATTGAACAAATAATAATTAATAATAAAAATAATATTTATAAATAAACATCTTTTTTTAACAAAAAAAAATTATTAATTGAAGTGCTTAATGACACAACATCATTGGGAGGGGGGGGGGGAAGATGATAAACTATTGATTTTGAAGACAAGATTCGTTCTTTATAGAATAGATCAACGGGATAATATTTATTTAATTTGCTTTCAAATTAATAAACCGTTTCCTAGTGGTAATGAAAGACGCTTTTAAAGTTTTTATTATCATTTAGACTAATTAACGACCATCAATTATGAATGACGGGCTATCGGGCTGATAAGACGTTGAGGAGTTTAATGTACCTGGTCGACGTCTTCCTACTGTCGCATACATTCGAGATAATGCATCATTTTGATCTTGATAAGTTTGATTACGAGTTGGATGTGACGATGACCAAACGGGAGCCGGAGTGGTTTCGGAGGCATATGTAGGAATGCGAGCATTATGTAGCGGAACAGCGTGCTGTTGAGTTGGATGAATTGCCATAGGATGTTGAATATTCTGATTATATGCATCCATAACATTACGACCAGCGAGGGCTTCACGATAGCCGATATTTCCATAATCGGTAGGATAATGTGTTGGACGAGAGCCATAGTTCATCTCGTTACGGCTATAAACCTGAGAGGTTGGCATACGATACTCATTGTGATAATTCATTTGAGGAACATGAGTAGGATCACTCATTGGTGCAGGATAATACTCATCTCGATTTGATGCTATGATATTTGAAGAAGGTAGAGTTGAATGAGGATATCTTGATGTCATTACTCTTCGAGTGGCTGGATATGAAGTATTTTGAATAGCCTGAGTTGAACGATAAGGATCTGATAAAGGACCCGTGTCATAACGTGATGAAAGCAAAGGCATTGGATTAGGTAATGAGTATCCGGATGCCATATTGGCTCCATCAACAGACCGTAAATTACTTTGGAACTGACTACTGAGATAATTAGCATATTGACTCAGCATGTCTTGCTGTTGCGAATTATATGGTGGTAACGTAAATGCATCATCAGTATAACAATTAGATGAGTTCGGCAAACGATTGTTAAGGCGATCTGCGTAGTTCGTTGTTCCATCGTAATGATGTCCGAGAGTTAATAGGCGGTCTGATGGTCCTGGTTGTATATGCATCTGATCTAAGTAGTTTAACGATCGAGCATTATTCATATCTGGCACATTATATCCATAGGCATCCTTCATGTTATCAATACCATGAATATCGAAGAGAGATCGTGTGTTTGGCTTTCCTCCAAAGCTTTGTTCGTACTCAATCTGAATAGGTTCTTGCTGGCCTAGACAACGCTCATAATTTCTGGGTAAACTTCCATAATTATAAGCATGCTGACGTCCGCTGATTGCTGATGTTGAAGAACCTGCTGATGTCCATTGTTGATGACGGGACAAACGAGCGGAAGGCGCTGGTGCCAATGGGTCGTATGCAGAGGAACCAACAGATAAAGGATCATAGTTATTGCCCACCAAAGAGGTTGAACGATAAGTATAGTCTCGTCTTTGTGGTGTCGTAGATGGATAATCTATACGAGGCAAACTACCATAATGTGGAACAACTGATGAATAATCGGAGCTTTGAAGTGCTGATGCAAACTGAGCTCGATATGGCAAGGCATCTGATGGAAGTTGAGTGTTTTGCCACAGCCTTTCTCGTCTTCTCGAAAGTTCTTCCATCAATTGTTGTCTTCTCTGTTCTCGTGACAGTGAGTCATCATCATGGAATTCGAAGCTTCGTTGTTTCGTAGAAGAGAGTTTAGCCTTTTCGGTTAACTCTTTAAGTTGGCGGTCGTAATCTTCGAAATATTTCCGAGTTGCCTCTAACAAATCTGTTTGCGTTTGTACTGTCGCATCAAAACAGCGAGCAGGATTGCGTAAACCATATGGCTCAGCTGATAAGCTTCTTTCTTTGGTCAAAGGCACTCTAGCGTAGCCTCCAGAATCATCGTTGGTTACCATATCTGTCTGGGTCTCCGTAGTTCGTTTTTGTTGAGCATATCGATATTTGTCTGTCTCTACCTGCTGACGCAAGGAAGTTGAGAAATATGGTTGCTGATGATGATGTGGGACCGTTGAAGCTGCGGTATTGCTTGAAACAGAGATGTTAGCATGAGCAGGTGGCTTGGGTGGCACAACTGGAGTTGAAGATACTTGGAAGCTCGTAGAAGTTGTTTGATCTCGACTTTTACGCTGCTCAACTGGTTGCTGTTTTGGTAACGTTGAAGGAAGATGCATGGACATCGGCTGTACGGGTACTACACGGGCACCACGTATAATTTCTTCAGGAAGGTCACAGCGAATAACACGAGGAACATCGTCTTCACGATTTTCAGGTAGAAGACCAGTGACAAGCATTTTATGTACAACATATTGACGTTGACTTGCTTCAATTTCACATGCTTCTAATGTTTCTCGGCGTCGATTCAATGCTTCTTTCAGCTCCTTCTTTAGTAAAACTCGTGCTAGCGTATTGGGAATACGAGCAGATTGTTGAACCAGGTGATGATGTGTAGGTTGATGTTGCTTTGTGACAAACGAGCTGACAGTTTGTCTTATAGCTGTTTTAGGCTTAACTTGATATGTTGCTCCAGCTGCTATTGCAGGATCCCCACGGCTTGTCGTGGAAATAATATCAGTGTCTAATGATATATGACTTAATGCTGATGATGGGCGTGATAACGCTGACGTTGGTCGAGAAACAGGCTGTTCAGTATAGAAACTGCTTCTCGTCATTTCTACATTAGTAACAGGCACACCTGAGCTCGCTCCATATAACGCTAATCCAGAATTGTAGCCTTGTGCAGCAATCGCCTGGCCAGATGTCATTGATGTTGACATTCCATTAGCTGGTACAGACGTACCAACTATTGGGCCGGCCGATACAAGATTTGGCGCTGATGATGTTAATAGCTGAGCAGACGACGTGCTTGGTGCTGAGGAAGATAAATATACTGGAACATGCTGCTGATGGGATGGGTTCTGATCATATGTAGAAGAACCGGCCAAAATTGTTGCTGATCCAAATACCCTCGTCGAAGTGGAAGCATTTTTGTCAATAGTGGAACTGCCTGTTGGGCCAGCAGTCCATGTAGTAGCTGAACCGATAATTGAGCTTGATGGTGTTTGATGAGAAGCATAGCCGGATGTGGTATTACTACTGGTCAATGCCGAGTTGTTTGTTGAGTAGTTTTGGATAGTTGAGTAGCTAGGATATGACGGAATCGATGGAAGTTTTCGCCTACCCATCTCCTGTGATGCCAATCCATCATCCTGAAAATACTCCAATATGTTTTTTTGCCCACTTTTTCTCAGAGAGGTGAATGAACGGTCGATCAAGAGGGTGTTAAAATCATTTAAATATTATTGATAAAAAATATTTTAGGGCCCAACGAAAAATATTTGTCCATACATAATGAAAAACCTAGCCCGGTTTCTTTGACGTCAAATAAGAATCAGGGGAAGGAAGGAATTAGTGAGTTTACTGAAGCGCAAAGAGATTCTTCAACTCTCTATGTTCCAACGGTGGTTCAAAAAAGAACAATTACGTTTTTTCTTCATCAATTCTCAAAGTTCAGAAAACTTTTGAAGAAAGAAAGTAATTTGGCCATAAAACGAATGAATTTGAACTTATCAAGGCTTCATGAGCATTTTGAACATTTTTTTTATCGACAAATTGAGATACTTTGGTGCGAAGCTTCATAAGGTCAAAGTTTCATTTGGTAGTTGCATGACTGAGAAAAATGGAAATGGATATCACTGGAGCTTTTTTTGTTTGTTGCCTGATGAAATAGCTAATTTTGTGTGTGAAAAAAGCTGAGTAAAACTGAAAGAGAGAAAAAAGTAAAAAAAGTTTTTTTTTCAAGGGAAAGATAAACTTGAAAAGCTCGAAAAAGATATATGGAGATGTAAAAGGTTGCTTATATTCAACACATATACACACAAAAAGTACAGAAAAGAGATAGAATATTCTTGCAACAATAAGAGCAAAATTTGAAATTTAGGGTAACTTAGGGCTTGTTATAGAGTGAGTGAGTGACATAACTATGTATGGACGATATTCTATTGATGGGTCATGGAAAGCGAAGCCGTCTTTAACCAATCTTGAGAAGAAGAGATTATTTCAAATTGCATACCGTTGTCGGCGATGGACATAGCTAGTTGACGTGAAGGTTTTTTAGAATCTTGTATGAGCAGCCGATATCCGGAATAGGGATGAAGCTAGCTGCTGCTACTGCTACTCGTGCTTCTGCTACTACTGCGTTGAGTCTCGACTAGTCAAACTGAGGTAGTAAAGAAGGAAAAGAAGAGGGAGAAAAAGGAAGAAGAGAAACCATGGAGTGACTGAGCCATGTGAAGAGATGAAAAAAGAGAGACGGAGAGGAAAAGAAGAGTGGCATAAAAGACGAGATGCTCAGTGAGAGTGAAAGGCAAGAAAGGAGTGCGAAAGAAAGAGAGAGAGAGAGGATCAAGCCAAAGAAGGCAAGGAGGCGTTGCTCTCCTCTCCCACTCTTCTGACCGATGCATGCTCCTACCGCCAGCTTGCCAAAGACCTCCTGAGTCTCTCACTCTCTCTGCTCATTTCAACATTTACTTCTTCTAATACTCTTTTTCTCTGATTGTATTCTGCATAAGAGAGCTGAGCTAAGAATAAGAGATAGACGAGAGAGAAAGAAAGAGAAACAGAAAAATCGCCATCATCGTGGAGTTGGCACACTAGCTGGCTTGAGCTGCCTATATATGGAAAGCGGCAAGGGTTGCCTCTGCTGGCAAGCAGAGACGGAATGGATTGTAATGGATGGATAGATGAGAATGAAAAGCGCGGCGTAAAATAGACAAGTGAAAGTAGCAAAACTGAAGGATATGAGAGGCATGAGAATAAAAAAACCTCAACAAACGCAGGAATTACTCAGGGAAATGAGCTTTTTTTATGTTTTGAGGTTAGTTGGTAGCTACCGATCTAACGCTTGGATAGAAATCGGTATAAAGCCCAACAAATACTTTAGGAACCTTTTTTTCTGTTTATTCTCTGTTCAATAGTCTGAGTAGAGTTGTGCATGAAACAAAATATTTTCAATTATGGGGATTATTGATATAGTTGAGTTTGCCTCTTTTCTTTCATGCTTTAAGCTTTGATTTTCCCCTGGGTATGTCTCTTAGCAGATCCAAAGTGACTAAGAATGTTAGATAGAAAAGAAGATGAAGAGAGCAGAAGTAGGTCCTTCCCGTACTAAAATGGAGAATCCGAAATTTGAATAGGGATTGAGAAAAGAGCAGTAACACAAAGTGTCCAAGGGTAAAAAGAAATGAAGAGATGGAAGAGGAGAGATTGAGAAACCTATGGAGGGAGCGAGAGAAAGAGAGAGAGAAAGTGAAAGAGAGAGAGAACTAGGCGTCAGTGGCGTCTAAGAAAAAGTAATGAAAGTTAAATTGAGATATAAAAGAAAAATGAGAGAAGCTATAATTTGTAAATTTATTAAAATAAGTACATGAAGACGTATGAGCTCATAACAATTCTTCCTCTCCAAAGAGTTTCCATCTAAATTCCAATTTTTCAAAAGCAGGAGGTTAAAGGGACGAAAAATTAAAACAAAAAGATTTTGTAAAAAGCCAATCATTTTGCTGAAAATGGAAATGGGCAATTAAGATAATTTATGTCGCAAAGACGTTTGAGCAAAAGAGTTCTTAAGAAATTCACCTTTAGATGTGAATTTTCGTTAAAAGCGAAAAGGAGAAGAGCTAAGAGGATTCCAATATCTTTCAATTTCAATTCTTCTCAAAAATGAAATATTTATTTTCGAAGTTACACATAGATTGAGACCTTTCATGTAATTATGAATAAAATAAGAATATTTACACAAAGACGGCAGTAGTGAGCAGTAGCAGAGTGGCAGAAGCCAAGATTCTCATTTAACCCCCACAAACTATTTTATTGTTCATTTTCATTTTGATATTCCCGACCCGTTTTATTTTGGAGTTTTGTTTGAAACCATTTCATATTTAACCATTTTCCAATATTTTTTAATAATTTTCATGCGATGAAGAATATGAAAATAAAAATGTAGCGCACCTCTTTCGCATCCGTCACCCATTTGAAAGTCGTGTTAAGCTGATCCAGAGTATGAGGCGATGAGGATGTATCTGGTATATCTTCAATAGTCATTTGTTTAATACTTTTGCTTGAAAGTGTATAAGAACCGTTTGGAATGGTGTCTGTGGTTGATGGTGGAAGAATCATTCCAGGGGAGCGGCGTAATCCTCTGAAGTTGTAATGTCATTTAAGCTTCCAAATTATTATTTACCTTGGAGATTCCATGTTTGAGGATGGTGTTGCATTAACTATAGAACCACCAAGAGTTCCAGGATAAGGAATAGGCATTTTGTTCGAATCATTCTTCACGGAATCAGTCGTTGTCACAGATGGGACTGTTGTTGTTGAAGTTGAAACACATGTTACATCACCCGCAATGTTAGCTTTATGTGTGACTATGGAAACTTGAGTAGTTTTTGATAATGGTTCAGATCTCAACATATTCGTTTCATTCAGCTGGTTCACACCTCCAATCGATTTATCAGATTCTTCTGAAAGTATATGGAAATTAACAGACAACTCGCTCATAACATTGGAATTCGAGCCAGCTTTCACTCAATTTTCTGCATGTAAGGGTTAGCCAACCAAATTTCCATCATTTGTTAACAAGGTTAGGCACAAAGACCACGCGAAAATTGCCTAGCCCGATTGAGGTTTTTGAACAAAAAAATTAATAAAAATTGTAGTTTTCTTGTTGGAGGTATGGAAAGAGGGCTTTTCGCTACCTGATGCTCCAGTGGAAAGCTTTTGGAATGCCGTCTGATCATAATAAAGAAGATTGGGCTTTGTTGTTTGTGAAGTATAAACTGAGCAAGTATTGAGCTGTAAAAAAAGAAAATAAGGAGATCTTAGATTTTGATAACTAACTAAGTCATTGATATCACTCAATGTTTTATCAATGGAAGTATTGATGGCTGCTTGTGAAGATGGAGCTCTTGGAGATGTGTACGTTGGTGTTGGTTCTGTAGGTAGCATGAATGGGGCAGTAGAAAATAAATATGATGAAGTATATATAGAAGATGTGGATGAAGAAGTAGCTGATGTTAGAACTGAAGTTGAGGTTGATATCATTCTTGAATCGGATATTGGAATTCTTGATTGGAATTCCGGAACATCGGAGAAATCGTATGAGGTTGTAGAAGGGATACCTCTCATTGATTGATCTGAACAAACAAAGTTTTCATGAAATTGTTCATTAAGTTCAATTCACCTTTCAATGTTGTTGGAACTGGTTGTTCTGTAGGTTTCTTATCATCATACATATGAATCAAAGCTTCAGCCACATTTCGAGCGTTTCGGCGTTTCTTCTCTCGAGCTTTAACACAACATTGGATTAGGGTGGAACAAAGAGTTTAAGTTTTACCATTTATACGGCTATCCGAGTTTTCTATTGTTCCATCGTCTTCACTTTCGTCTTCAGGAATTGTATAAACTGGACCTGGTCGATGTGCTGCAAGTGATTGCTGAGCTTGATAGAATCTAGCGGCTTCAGAATAATCCACTTCTTCCATATCGATAGTCTATGAAAAATGTTTTACTTGATCACAATCTCGTTACACTTACAACATCTTCATCTTCTGGAGATTCAAGGAATGGATTCCGCATGCTTGGGCTGCTCTTAGATAAATCCAAAGCATCGTTCACTTTCTACAGATTTACTTGTTTAATAAAAATGATTTTTAACGTTTAAAACCTGTGAAGACATCTCGGTTTCGTCAAGAGTTGGAATTTCAGCTTCTAAGTCTGTGACCTTCTGAAAAACAAAGTTTATCACACATTTCTGATTTGAATTATAACCAATGGTGGTAGCCGCTTAGACATCGACGCCGCTGCCCATTTAACATCAAATTCATCATCAGCTGCTTCTCCGAAAGCTTGTATTTGTTGTAACACTTCTTTTCCAAATTGTTCTTGGAGTTCTCGTTCTCGTTCTACTTCCTCAAACGAAGGTGTTGGAGCAGTTGGAGCGGCCACAACCTGGAGATTGACAGATAACAATACATCTTTCTAGTCAACGTTTCAAACCTTGTCTGGGTACTCGTCATCATCTTCACTGGCACTCTCTTCTTCTTCACTATCGTCATGAACTGTTATTTTGATTTCCGGGGCATCTTTTTTAGATTTTGCAGTTGTTGAAGACGGGGTAGAACGTTGATAA